CACCCACCCTGTTGGCCCTAGTGTTGTGTCCCTCCTCCGGTCCCCCCTCCACCCACCCTGGTGGCCTAGTGATATGTGGCCTTTGTCACTTAAATCTGCATTTGGGTCCTGCTTCCTGCACACCGTAACACTGTCAGACCGAACAAACGTTGCTTCAATTGGTATAAACTCCACACAAGCTTATTTAAATTCAGCTGAGTTGACTGTGTCCATGATGAGGATTGTTGAGATTATTAAGAATGTATACACACTAAAAAATGCTGGGTTAAAAACAACCCCATTTGGGTCGTTTTTTAACCCAACGCCAGGATCAATATTGGACCAACCCAGCAGTAGTTAATTTGACCCAACGAAATGGGTTGTGTATTTTAACCCAGCAGATGGGTTATACATTTAATCCAAATGCTGGGTCAAATTAATTACAGCCCTGGGTTAATTCTAGCATGAATTGGGTTAAATATTACACTCAAATGCTGGTTCATAATAGCTACGATGGGTTAATTCTACAAGTTATTATCGTCATGTTTTTAATGCAATACCCATGTCTCTTAAACATTTAAATTACAAACCCTTTTAAAATACATCCTATATTTGGTCATGCAAATAATATAATATGCAATAAACGCTTTTAAACAATGTTGGAATCTTAGAAAAATATTAATTTTATTGTTATAACAATTGACAGTTCAATAAAGTGCAAACGATTCAGTTCACAATAAAGTGCAAAACTTTCTTTAAACAAAACTTAACATTTATGCATGTACAGTACAGCCTGTAAACAACACACATTAGCAGATCTACAAGCTCATAGCGTGGCACGAAGTGACATGCTATGAGCTTGTAGATCTGCTAGGATGCGTTTGTTCTAATGTGTGTTGTTTACAGGCTGTACTGTACATAACACACATTAGAACAAACACATCCTAACAGCATCCTAGCATATCTACAAGCTCATAGCACGTCACTTTGTGCCATGCTATGAGCTTGTAGATCTGCCATTTCTAAATCTCAAAATCTTTGCTTCTGGTTTGAGAACCACTAATAGCAACATACGTTTTTTCAGAAATTACTGGTTCATATACTGCAGGGGTGGCCAACCAGTCAGAGGTTAAGAGCCACATGTTTTCTATGTTACTGCAAGGAGCCACATCAAACACACAGTCACTGATACCGCTTGTTTCAGTTTTTTGTTTTCTAGAGACAAGATTTCAACCACGTCACTGATTCATTTTTGTGGCATTGGGATATATTTTTAAAATCCTCTGGAGCAGAGAGAGGAGCTGTGAATTATTGTTATTGATTAATGCATCAGTGTTTCTTAGGGTCAAAAACACTAAACCCACAAATTAAAATGAAAGCGTTTAGTTTATTTAATAAAAGAGCACATGTTCAATGTGAAAAGTGACAGTAGTTATAGATTATTTGCAATTTGATGCTATATATATTTAAAAAAAGTATATATATAACACCTTGAATTTCAGGGGGGGCGCGGGGCTCCGTTGGCGGCTCGCAGTGCCCCTCCAAGACAATGGTAGGGGAAACACTGAATAGTGTTTAATCAACAATAGGTTCCCCCCCCCTCAAAGGTGATTGGTTCACTGCATTGCAGGTATTATTGTGATTGGCTGTTGGGCCACATCAAAATTAGACGCGCTGTCATCCTCTCATACTGACACCTGACACCACACATACACACGTAGGGAGAGCCGGGACGAAAGTAACACGGGACCAAAGTAACGGAGCGATTTTATCCGAGCCCAAACAACTTTGACCGGCCAAATTACGTCAGAATGATCAGCATTCAATACTTAACAGACCTACTAAATATCAGGTTTAACTGTCAGTGTTGTCACGATACCAACATTTTGGTTTCGATACCAAGTCAAGAATTGCGATTCCGATTATTTTTCTTAAAAAACGGGAAACAGTCTTAAATGTAATTATTGTGCTTTATGTCACACCAGAATCATAACCATAACACACATTTTTAAACAATGAGAACAATAAATACAATAAATGACAAGAATTCGTATTAAATACAATTAATACATTTCTTACAGACAGGCCTCGTGGTGTCCGTAGGCTTGCCCTCACTGTCAGAGATATAGCTCAAATACTTCCAAATGTCGCTTCTGGCGTCTTTCTTGTCAACAAGCCGAGGCGCAGCGGCAGTTGCACTCCCACTTGCAGCCATGCTTCTCGTTTTCTCACATGCTCTGGCAGCTAGCGCGTGCACGAGAGAGGGGAGGGACTTAGAATGTGCTTGAGAGGGAGGGACTGCAGGCACGGCTGCAGTGCAGGGAGTGGAAGCAGAGCGCTGAACACACACGGCTCTTATTAAAACAGCGCTTTCTCACCGGAGTACTTTCCCCCGTCATTCTTAAAGTACCGATACTAATGAAACGGAGGAATCGTAACGATTTTAACGACAGGGTATCGCGGTATACCTTTCAAGTATCGGTACACCGTGCAACACTAGTCAGGAGTCAGTGTCTCTCCCCCAAACTCGATATGAACTGAAGAGCCGCATGAAACTAGGCAAAGAGCCGCATGCGGCTCGAGAGCCGCGGGTTGGCCACCCCTGATATACTGGCTATGTAAAGGTTACAAAGAAAATCCTCCAACATGATCACAAAAATGTACTGCTCCTTTAGGTGATCCGAACTACAGGAAACTAAGATGTGCAAATAAACATTTTAACAATTTATGCTTCCACCATTTAGCTCTTAACTCAGCACACAACTTGCTCATAAAATACTTTGAGCATTAGGTAGTATTTTGAACATCACACACACACTTCACAAATCCAGCAATATTTGATTTAACCAGAGAGAACCCTACTCTGAGCCAAGCAGCAGAAGAGAGAGAATAGAACAGGAGGACCAGCAGAAGAAAATAAAAGGATCAAGACCACAAGTCTACTTGCAAGCAAGTATTGCTGCACGCAAGGACGTAGCAGGTTTTGACTCCTCTCCTTCCTTGATTTCGTACACTGCATTTTGGAGGAATTTCCATACAGCTTCACACTGCTTTGTGTAGTCGATGTCAAATATATAGAATACCTTGAAACAGACATCTACTGCCTGAAGCAATGTGTTTTGTTCCAACGCCTCCCCATCAAGAATAACGAACGCCTGAGAGGTGTGCCAAATATTGTTTCCCAGGGACAGGACATATGGGTAAGGTCTTGACACTCGAAATGAACAGTGATTGAGGACCTGTAGGGTTTGAACAGAATAACTCGAACAGTGTTCGAAGGAAATGCTTGAATTGCTGTTGACTTTTTCTCAATGCATTCGGCCATTCCTGTTTCGGTAAGAAAAAATGGGTTTTGAGGTCATATAAACAATGGGGGACATGTAGCGTGAGCATAGAGAACAGATGCAAAGGCTGAAAAGGTCAGAAGTGAGTGGTAGTTGTGTAACGTTAAGAGCAGGTACCTGTTTTTGTAAGCTTTTGGTCAACAGCTAAACATGGGAATGGGAAGTAAAAAGACAGTGTTGGCCAGTGACTAGTTTAATGGTAGGACTGGTATGGGATGGAGATCCGACTCTGGGGCTCGTCTGATATTCTGGAAAGAGAAACAATACAATGAATCAGCAATGATGTGGTGGTAACCAGAAATGTGGGATGCCCAAATAATGAACTGGTGTTGAGCTGAGAATCAAGTAAGTCTGCGCGGGAGCTGCATGATGTCTAAAGAACAAGATATATATATTTTAAGGATCTACATGAAGGATCAATGTGTGTTTTCTGTGTGGACGAGTATGGATTTCCTAGACCACCAAAGAACAACAGTTATAAGAATGGCTTCTAGCACATGGAGCAAATATAAAGGCAAGCGGGCCTGTGAGGCGAGATCAATATCCTCAGGTTTGGCGATAAAGAGCTCGTAGAAGAAGGAGATGCAATTCCAAGACAACAAATCTTGCCAAAGACACTTTTCCATCTTGCATGCATCTTCCAGAACAACTCTATTGTAGACTTAGGGAGGGCTGCAGCTTTATGCAGGTTGGACAGGAAGGATTTTGCTTGAGGAATGGCAAATGGCATAATTGATGTAACCAAAGAGGGCTACAAGCTTGCATTTGCTGCACCTGTCAGCCAGCAGATAGTTTGATAGAATCAAAGTCTGAGGTGAGGATAGTGGAATGACAAAAAGACTGTAATAATGCTTGAGGGCATGATTCAAGTCTGTCGTCGAGTAATTCAAGATGTCACACCATGGTATATTGTATTTGAGATACACATACTTATTACAGTTAAGCATACGAAATTGAAGAAATAAAATATTTTTTACAATACTCATAACTCAACCAACTACTGCTGCTGCTACCAAGGCTACACCTGCAGTAACAACGACGACTGCTCCTGGGAGAGGTCTTTTTTATTGACAAAAATGTAGTTATCAGGATCTATGTAGCTCTTTGCTTTATAACATCTCCATTACCTTTTTTTGGTAAATACATATAGATGTGTATCTTTTCCCCTTGGTCACCAAGACTTGAAAGAAACTATTTTCTGATGTCAAGAGTCTTGTAAACTACTTTTCACTGTGGGTTTTGAATATATTTCTGAGTGATAGTATTCATGTGACATCCCTGCAACCTACATATGCTGATAGCTAAGCTTGTATTAACCGATGATATTACTTTATTATGCAGCACAGGGTTCATTTAAAACACAGGCGAGCCAAACGTGAAAAAAGGGCTTTGACCTCAGGGTGTAAATGGACGTATATGTCATTCATTCAAAAATGTATTGATGAATTATAAATTGCAGTTCTGCTTGAATATAGCTCAGGCTATTTCATTGCTACCTTCCACATGACATCTCAACACTGTTGCTGAAAAGGATATTTGCATTTTATAGAGACATGGGTTTTATACCCTTGATCTGCAAGTCATGCAAACCAAATAAAAAAATGATTCACAATTGTGTCCTCTCTTCTCGTGGCTCGCTAGTATATTCTTTAAATCACAACAAACCGAATTGTTTGATCTTGTTTTTATTCTCTTTTCAAATAAATAGGGTTCAATTTGGAAATGACAGTGCAATTAAACAAGACGTTCACAGAAACATTGAAAAATACAACAAGTGCTGAATACAAAAATCTTAAAGACATCATGACTACATTGGTAAGTGCATTGATAAATACCATATCAAATTGTAACTTGTATTTTCAGTTGAATTGGTAATGTTATGAACCGTATCTCTCCCACAGTTAAACAAGGAGTATGGAGGAATCACAGGGTTTATTGGTGTTTCTGTGACAGGATTCAGGTATGGTAATTCTGGCATTTAAGACATATGGAGACAGGACATCCGTACACATTTGACACCACCATTTTGTTTTGTGTTTGTTCTTACAGAGAAGGAAGCATATTTACAGAGTTTGTTGTTGAGACTACAGAGGTTAATGCTGAAGAATTCGCTGAAGCAAATAAAGAATTTTCAAAAGCAGTAACCTCTACTATTGCCCCTGTCATTGGCTCTGTCACTGCATTGTACAACAGTAAGTCCAACATAGCTAGTCGGTAATTACATTTGGTTTAACTTGTATAAACACCAAACTGATGTGTTCTACTTTCTCCAAAGGTGAAGATAAATTAAGGATTGACGGCATAATTTATAATGGAAATCGCATGAGACTGGTGTGCGAACCCAGTATTAATGTGGGACAAATAAGTAGTGTTAAGTGGACATTTCGTGGAAGGGTAATTGAGGGGAATGGAAGGAGAAAAATAACAAATTCTAACACAAGTTCTGTTCTAACAATAGAGAAAGCCGATGTTGTGGATACTGGTAAGCAAAAGCTAGTAAAAATAAGTAAAATAACAACTTTTTTAATTGATGCTAATAGACAAATGAATTTGCTGCTTGGACTGGAATGTTCACTATTTAATATACTAATGGTATCATTCTTTTAACTTTTTTTACAGCATACCAATGTAATCATTGTTTTTATTATCTTAATCACAGGAATGTACCAATGCACTCTGATGGGCGACGTATTGCAGTTCAGACAAGAAAGGGACGTGATTGGAGATGATATCCAAGAAGCTCCCAGTATAGAATCAGAGCGTCAAATAAACGTTGAATGTCCGGAGGAGGACCCAGTACCACTTGAGTGTTGTGTGCAGTCCCCTTTTAAGGTGAAGTGGTTTAAAGACTCACTTACTCCTCTTGGTAAGTTTAAAATGTTACAGAAAACTTCTCAATCCGACCATACTGAAAACACACATCCAATAACAGTTTATTTTATTAATAACACTGTTAAATGTTCGCAGATGCTGGAGTTACCAAAAATGGAACCTCATTCTGTCTCACATATGAATACCCGCTAGTAGCCTGCAGTGGACCAACGTCACCAACATTTACTTGTAAGGTCGTTGATTTCGATTATAGACGGGAAACAACATTGAGCATTTCCAAAGAACGTAAGTGCAATGTTTCAAAAGTGACTATGCTTTTCCTTTGCAGTCTTTTTCCCCAATATTTTGTGTAATACTAATTGATTATTATTTATCTCCTAAGTTTTTACATGTAAAGACGCTGATTATGGGGATGGAAGAGAAGGCGAACTATCTAGTAAAGAATGTCCTCCAGGTCAAGTGGGGGAAAAGATTGCGAAGTGTGATAATGGAAAGTGGATATTGTTAGAGGACACTTGCGTTATCAAAGTAATCAAGAAGTTGCTTGTTTCTTCAGGGGTAAGTGATCAGCTGGGGATAACAATTCATCCCCATTTTAAATCTATAAAACACACAGTATACCATAAAGTCATTCAAAAAACGGTCCTATGTTTACTAGTTCTACGTAACCAGACATTCCGTGTTGTGCAACAATTGTATCCAGGAACTATTTTCTTTCTAACAAACTACACCTGTCAACTCTGAGACACCATCTGTTCAACAAAAGCATGAAGAAAATCTAAACGTCTGTCACACTCCTAGGTTTATGTCACGGTTTTAGTGTTGTCTGTCTGGTTATGGGTTTTGTAAGTCTGTTCATTTGGTGTTTTGTCTTCCTCCTTGTGTTTTGTCTGGTCCTCCTCCCTGTCGTTAGTTTCCCTGGTGTGTCTGATTGTCTCATTGTGTTCACCTGTTGCCCTTGTGTTTCTCCCTCCCCTGCCCAGCTGTGTCTTGTCCTGTGATTACCCTTCTGTGTATTTAGTCTAGTCTTCCCCTGTGTTCCATGTCGGTCCATTGTTTCCCCTCCATGTTTCCACGGTCTGTTGTGCTGCTCGTTTGTTTTTGGATATTTTTGGATACTGCCTTTTTGCCACAGCTTTTATGATTTAATAAAGCTCGCTTTTTGTTAAATTCTGCATTTGGGTCTTACCTTTTCCACGCATCCTGACAGAATGGACCGACCAACAATGGACCCAGCAGATTTGAATTTGTATTTGGACTTGTTCTCTCTAGAGTACACTCTTCAGTGTCATTATGCTGAATGGAGTAGAACCTCGGCTAAAAGGGACAAAGAGGCTGTCCTCAAAAAGGCACAAATGGAGGTGGACAACGTGCCATGGTTGAGAAGCTCATTGCCTGAATTTCTCAGAGTTTTTTCTCGTAGCCCTGAGTGCCAGTCTCCATTCTCTGACCCTTTCTTGGGATCCCGCCTGGCGTTTGGAGGTCCACGGAGCCTCCAAAAGACCTCTAAAAGACGCAAGGTCAGGAAGCCAACTCGTACTCAGGTACCGGTCCTAGCAGCCTGGGTTCCGTGCTCCAGTGCCGGCCCATACAGCCATGTTTCCGTGCTCCAGTGCCGGCCCAAACAGTCATGGTACCGTGCTCCAGTACCATCCCACACAGCCATGGTTCCGTGTTCCGGTTCCTTACCCAGCAGCCATGGTTCCGGCTCCAGTGCCGGCCCCAGCAGCCATGGTCCCTGCTCCAGAACCGGAAGTTACAGCCATGTTTCCGGCTCCAGAACCGGCCCACACAGCCATGATCCAGGCTTCAGTTCCGGTTCCCACAGCCATGGTCCCTGCTCCAGTCCTGGCCCCAGCAGCCATGGTTCCAGCCCCAGTCCTGGCCCCAGCAGCCATGAATCCGGCTTCAGTACCGGCCCCAGTAGCAATGGTCCCGACTCCAGTTTCGGCTCCAGTACTGGCTCTCCGGCCGACGCCAGCTCCCCGTGTCCTGTCGGCGTACCGGCCGACTCCAGCACCTCGTCTCCTGTTGGCTCTCCAGCCGACGCCAGCTCCCCGTGTCCTGTCGGCGTACCGGCCGACTCCAGCACCTCGTCTCCTGTTGGCTCTCCAGCCGACGCCAGCTCCCCGTGTCCTGTCGGTGTACCGGCCGACTCCAGCACCCCGTGTCCTGTCGGCGTACCGACCATCTCAAGTCACCTCTCCAGTTCCCGCTCCAGTCTCCTCTCGAGTTCCCTCTCTAGTCCCCTCTCCAGTCTCCTCTCCAGTCCCCTCTCCAGTCACCTCTCAAGTACCTTCTCGAGTCCCCTCTCAAGTCACCTCTCCAGTTCCCTCTCGAGTCCCCTTACAAGTCAACTCTCGAGTTCCCTCTCAAGTCCCCTCTCGAGTTCCCTCTCAAGTTCCCTCTCGAGTCTCCTCTCGAGTTCCCTCTCGAGTCTCCTCTCGAGTTCCCTCTCGAGTCTCCTCTCGAGTTCCCTCTCAAGTATCCTCTCGATTCCCCTCTCAAGTTCCTTCTCCAGTCACCTCTCGAGTCTCCGCTCAAGTTCCCTCTCGAGATCCCTCTCAAGTCACCTCTCGGGTCTCTTCTCGAGTCCCCTCTCAAGTTCCTTCTCCAGTCACCTCTCGAGTCTCCGCTCAAGTTCCCTCTCGAGTCCCTTCTCAAGTCTCCTCTCGAGTTCCCTCTCGGGTCCCCTCTCGAGTCTCTTCTCGAGTCCCCTCTCAAGTTCCTACCCGAGTCCCCTCTCAAGTTTCCCCTCAGGTCTCCTCTCGAGTTCCCCCTCGGGTCCCCTCTCGAGTCTCTTCTTGAGTCCCCTCTCAAGTCACCTCTCAAGTTCCTACCCAAGTCCCCTCTCAAGTTTCCCCTCAGGTCTCCTCTCGAGTTACCTCTCAAGTCCCCTCTCGAGTTACCTCTCAAGTCACCTCTCGAGTCACCTCTCAAGTCTCCTCTCGAGTTCCCTCTCGAGTCACCTCTTAAGTCTCCTCTCGAGTCACCTCTCGAGTTTTCTCTCAAGTCCCCTCTCGAGTTTTCTCTCAAGTCCCCTCTCGAGTTACCTTTCGAGTTACCTCTCAAGTTCCCTCTCAAGCCCTCTCTCGAGTCTCCTCTCGAGTCAACTCTCCAGTTTCCTCTCGAGTTCCCTCTCAAGCCCTCTCTCGAGTCCCCACTCAAGCCCTATGTCCTGTGCCATCGGAGGTCCCGCCGACTACTCTCCTGCCAGGGGTCTTGCCAACCCTATGTCCTGTCCCGTTGGGGGTCCCGCCGACTACTCTTCTGCCGGGGGTCCTGCAACCCTATGTCCTGTGCCGTTGGAGGTCCCGCCGACTACTCTCCTGCCGGGGGTCCTGCCAATCCTATGTCCTGTTCCTCTGGGGGTCCCACCGACGGCTCTTCTGCCGGGGGTCCTGCCAACCCCTTGTCCTGTTCCGTTGGAGGTCCCGCCATCACCTGTCTCGCCGGGGGTCCTGCCAACTCCAGGTCCTGTTCCGTGGGGGATCCTGCCGAAGCCTGTCCCACTGGCTCCGGTTCCTGTTCGGCCGACACCGGGTTCTGCCCGGCCTCCGGAGCTGTCTGGTATTCGCCCTCGAGCCCGGCCCCCTGAGAGCCGCGGTCTTCGCCCTTGAGCCCGGCCCCCTGAGTGCCGTGGTCTTCGCCCTCGGGTCCGGCCCCCTGACTCTTCCTGCCACTGCCTTCGCCCTCATGCTCGGCCCCCTGAGTTCGCCCGCTGTGGCCTTCGCCCCTCCATGGTCTCTGCCTTTCCCCCGGGCCGTCCGCCCGAGTTCCCCACCTTGGACTCTGCCTTGCCCCCGGGCCGTCCTCCCGACTTCCCCACCTTGGACTCTGCCTTGCCCCCGGGCCGTCCGCCCGAGTTCCCCACCTTGGACTCTGCCTTGCCCCCGGGCCCTCCTCCCGACTTCCCCACCTTGGACTCTGCCTTGCCCCCGGGCCGTCCGCCCGAGTTCCCCACCTTGGACTCTGCCTTGCCCCCGGGCCGTCCTCCCGACTTCCCCACCTTGGACTCTGCCTTGCCCCCGGGCCTTCTGCCCGAGACCCCCTCCTTGGTCTCTGCCTTGCCCCCGGGCCGTCCGCCCGAGACCCGTCCTCCAGACCCCCTCCACCCACCCTTTCTTGGCCCTAGTTATGGGCCCTTGTCCTGTGATTACCCTTCTGTGTTTTTAGTCTAGTCTTCCCCTGTGTTCCATGTCGGTCCATTGTTTCCCCTCCATGTTTCCACGGTCTGTGTTCCTTGTGCTGCTCGTTTGTTTTTGGATACTGCCTTTTTGCCACAGCTTTTATGATTTAATAAAGCTCGCTTTTTGTTAAATTCTGCATTTGGGTCCTACCTTTTCCACGCATCCTGACAACGTAAGGTTTTTTATAAATCAACTCAACAGCAGAAATCATGACCAGTTGTAAGATAATCCACTGACCTTGTGAGAAGTTTCATTTAGTATGTATTTTATTTCAACTAAAGTACATTCGCGTGAGAAAAAATTTACCAAGCTAATTTTTTATAATATTTTGTATTGTTGTAAAAGACCCACGTTTTCGACCAACATCAGCACATTCCATCACGGCTTCTGCTGTCCAGTAACTTCTTGTAACTAACTGACCACTGTTTTTATATAAAGTGTGGCTCTGCAGCACACTACTTTAATCTTTAAAGGAGCCTTATTATGCTTTTTGAGGGTTTCCCTTTCCTTTAATGTGTTATCTAGTTTTGGTGCATGTAAATGGTCTGCAAAGGCTAAATCCTAAAGTTCTCTTCAGTTCTCTCCAATATACTATAATTTAGGATTCACATAAATATCAATACTTTTTCAACAAAGATGGACAAACTTGTCAAAACTGTGGTGGCTCAGATTAAGTAGACTACAGATTCAAAGATTAAAAGGCTTTAATGTTTTGTGCAAAGTAGCTACAGTGTAGTTTTGGCAATGAACATCTTAAGTCCCAGGTTCCTCCAACTATGCATAATAAATATATGAGACAAAAAACGATAAAATATTTAAAAAACTATATTTTTGTTATTACAATGTTTTCAAAACAAACAACATTAAAGTTAATACGGGATAGGTCTCCCCTCACACAATCACATTCTTTTAGCCTCTTCTGTACTTTTGTGGCTTAAAATGTGTAGCTGTTGCCAGAAAAGAAACATCTCTGTATTTGTCATGGTTTACAATCTCTCATTATATAAATGTATGTGTTTTTAATATTTACTTTAGGTGTTGCAGGTGGAGGATGTCCCAGATTTTGTGGAGAAGCTAAGTGAAGAGGTCAAAGTGATAAAGAATGTAACAAAGGAACCTAATACCATATCAACTATCGTGGAAATCCTGGGCAACATTGCAGATGTTACTCTGGAAGTCAATAAACCTGTCATGAAGGTAGGTTAAACCTTCCCATCAGCATTATCTTAGTTTAGGTATGTATTTTATGTCAACAAATATGTGAACTGCTCTATTGAAACCAGTCGGATGTCGCAATGGCACAATGCAATTAGGGATTTGGTTGATTCTAAAAAAACAATGTCTTGGCTTCCAGAATATCAATATTTGATATCACATTAATACAACAAATAAATTACCCCACTCAGAAATACACACACACACACACACACACACACACACACACACACACACACACACACACACACACACACACACACACCACACACACACACACACACACACACACACACACACACACACCACACACACACACACACACACACACACACACACACACACACACACACACACACACACACAACACACACACACACACACACACACACACACACAACACACACACACACACACACACACACACACACACACACACACACACACAACACACACACACACACACACACACACACACACACACACACACACACACACACACACACACACACACACAATTTCGGTCGCACTTTTGTCCTGAACTTGAGCCCCCTCTTTTAAATAGCTATAGCTAAATTATTGTCAGCAAACTTTGAAGGCCTTTTTAAAAAAAATGTATCGTGATATTTCGCTGAATATTTGTAAAACAATAAGGATATCTTCGGAAAGCTAAGAATCTCCTCTTTCCAGTTATGTACATAACTAGAAATGTGTATCGGAGTCGATTTTTATAGAGCAGTTCATGTATCTTTTTTTGATGCAGATGTAACCTCACAATGAATCTCTCTTCATCTGCAGAGCGTCCTTCAAACAGTTGATGAAATTATTGGTGAGGATTCAAGAGAGTCCTGGACAGCTCTGAATGCAAACGAAAACAACAACGCAAGCTCTGATTTACTGGGTTCGATGGAACTCTTCTCTGCTAAAATAAATGAGACATTTACCTTTACCTCTAGGACTGGTGCAATCCTCCTCAACAGAAGCACCAACTCGTTCTACGCAAATCTGAACAACAGCGTTGTCCTGGACATTCCTAACACCGGCTTTCGCAACGTCTCTATCACCACTATTACTTTCTTCACCCTAAATATTGTTATGCCAGTACGGAACTCCAGCTTTAACACCAGCCTCTTCAACACCAATAACACTGACCCCGTTAATGCCATCAACGCAGCTGTGGTGCTGATAAAAGTAAATGAAACTATTCGGAACGTTACTTTAAGCTACACCAAGTTAAACACGACTCTGACGCAAGATCCTCAGTGTGTCTTCTGGAACTTTAGACTGTTTGACAACAGGGGTGGTTGGGATAGTGACGGGTGTCAGTTTGTTTCCGATATGAATGACACAGTAACCTGCAGATGCGACCATCTCACCTCATTTTCAATTCTGATGTCAACTGGTATCCCTCAAGAATTCGAAGAACTCTTGGATATAATCACCTACGTTGGAGTTGGGATCTCTTTGGCAAGTTTAGTTATATGTTTAATTATTGAAGGATACGTTTGGAAAGCCATAACTAAAAATAGCACTGCCTTCATGCGTCATGTTTCCCTCATTAACACTGCCCTCTCTCTGTTGATCGCTGACATCTGCTTTATCATTGGAGCCTCCATTGCCGACAACCCAGCTGAAAACCCGGAGAAGAATAACTATAATGTTCCAGTTGACTCTTGCAGCACAGCAACATTTTTTATGCACTTGTTTTACCTTGCGGTGTTCTTTTGGATGCTAGTTTCAGGCCTTCTGCTACTTTACCGGACAGTCATGGTCTTCTCCCACATGTCCAAGGCAGTCATGTTGGCTATTGGCTTCTTATTAGGCTACGGGTGCCCTCTGATCATAGCTGTTGTTACGGTTGCCGCCACAGCACCAGGAGAAGGATACATCACGAACAAAGAGGCTTGCTGGCTTAACTGGGAGCAAACAAGGGCCCTGTTGGCGTTTGTGATACCTGCCTTAACTATAGTTTTTATCAACATAATTATCGTAATCGTGGTCTTGTTCAAAATGCTAAGAAGAGGCGTGGGAGACGCCGCCCAAAGAGATGAAAGGCATACGCTGGTTGTCATTCTAAGGTGTGTGGCCATTTTGACTCCTTTATTTGGACTGACCTGGTCTTTAGGAGTGGGGACCATGCTAGATTCGACAAATAGAGGACTCCACATTGTCTTTGCACTCTTCAATTCACTACAGGTATTTGCAACCATTAAAAATAACCAAATAACAACTTGTTCTTACATAGCAGTATTTTTATATAATACCTATTTTTGTCAATTTCTTTGAAGTTAAATAAATATGCGTGTTATTTCATTTTCCTCAGGGTTTCTTCATTTTAGTGTTTGGGACACTACTCGATTCAAAGGTATGTTGTCTTTAAACTAATAATTATGGATAGACGATTGATAGCTCTTTTGATAGTAGTAGTAGAAGTATTCAAATCCTTTAACCTGCCAGAAGGTTCAAATACCAGATTATAACTTAATATCATGCAATGAAAAATGACTAAAGTCAAATCAGTTTTAGCATTATTGTTATCATATTTTATATTCCATAATGAGATTATCATGAAGCATTGAAACAAAATGATAGAGATTTCTGTTACTTTGTGATTTAGTGCCCCCAGTTCAAGATTTTAATTGACATTTACACCATAACGTTGAGTGTGCATTTGTTATGTTAGCAAGATAAAACTAGCAGGTTGACAACTTTGTTAACAAAGCCAAACATCAAGAATCAGAAGTCCTTAACTTTCCAACGGCAGGAACATTTACAATGTTACAGCAAGCCCAGTGCCAAAGCAAGAGTACACAACACAATAAATAGAAGGCCGGCTAATCAGCTAATCTGGCTATTGACCCCGCCCACCTGGTTTATGTCCTGTACCTCAGGCTGTGTTGACGACGTTACTTTTTAAATGGGAAATTACCCAAAGTGAAGAAAACAAGAAAAACAAATCCTGCCCATTTTAACAGAATTACTGGAAGAATGTTTTCGTCCACCATTTCGTAGTGAAGAGCTTTGGATCTTGGAAATACTGGCAGCCTAGTTTTAAGCCCTTGATATACACATGTGTGAAATGAACTTGCTCACTCCATATAACTGGCTGCAATCTAATTACGAGAATGCACTCAAAGTATAGATATAAATATAACGACAAAAAAGCGTACAGGTAATGCCGTCTCAAGGGCTATGAACGAAGGACGGCACAGGATTAGCATGTATCAGCTTCACTGGAGCACGCATGCCATTTTAGCAGGTCTCCCTTGAAAAATAGATCAATGATCTCAATATCCCATTGAGATCAATGATGATACAATGGTGTGTATCCCACACCTGGATAAATAAAGGTTTGAAATTAAATTAAATTAAATTAGAATCACTAAAACTATCTCACTTAAGAGCTAGAATTCAAAGCTTAAAAACTCACCAAATGGTTGGCGAAGCCATAACAGAGGGTCTCTATCTTCCTTGACAATGATGACATGCTGTATTCCAGCCAATCGTGACTTGTAAAAAGTATTCTGAAGAAGTGACGCCGTAGATGTTGCCAATGTGAAACATCCATTCATGCTACCCAGAGAACCTCAGAGAACCTCAGAGAATGTTATTACAGTTGTTGTTCGGCATAGGTGGAGCTTGTTTTTACTGCTTCAAGCTTTGTTTTGCAATCCATTGCTTTTAAGGTAAACTGGTAATTGTTACATGTGTATAGAGGATTTAAGGGCATATTTGTTAAATACTTCTCTCTGTAATGATGGTTGGTTGGAAAGAGTTCAGATAACAAAGTGTAACCCAAGGGCAGTACTGGAGACAACGTAGCCTACTGTGCGAATATGCCTAGCAGCCCCTCCAAAGCTCACAAGAGTGTTAATGCTAATTATAAAGCAAGGAAGCTTATTTTCTTTGTTTAAAAATGTTAATCTTCCTGAATGTTTTCTAAATCGCACATAAGTTGATTGAGATGAATTTGATTTTCCTGTAGATCCGTTCTATCCTCGCAAGAAAATCACCTACAACAAGCACAGGCTCCAATACAACCAGAGTAAGTCATTTTAAAGTGCATGCAGTTTTTCTTGTTCATAATGTTTCTACCCATTAAATAACAAAGATATCCTGCAATCACCTATTTATACCATATAACATTTGTTTTCTACTTTAGAGTACAAGTTGTGGCATTTCGTCCACTGGACTGAACTGGTTCCATCGACTGCGTGGAAGAAGAAGAAGAAGAAGCAAGTTTTTATTTTAAATTGAGCAGTTCTTTTCATTTACTGAGATATATTTTCTCTATTAACAATTTGTTATTTGTCTTTCAGACGTCTACCAAGTGTCAGAGGCTGTAAACTCAGGCAGTGCTGGTGCGCCGGAGTCATTCTCCAATATCTAAATCAATGCAACGAATCATACTACTAGTTTATAGGTGTTTCATGATAACATTGATAATACCATGACTATGTTCCTGGGAAAAAGAGCATAATACTTCCTTCATGAAAAGTAGCAAAGTACCGGTATCACAAGTTTGAAAAGAAAATGTTGCATACTTTCTACAGATTCACTGTTAATGCAGTTTGTGCAAATTAACGATGACAGAGCTCCAAGGCTGTCCGCCTTGAAATGGGGCTGGGGCAGGGCGGGTGCACCATGACATTGTTTTGAAAGTCTGCATTGTTCCGAAGACCCACTATTCTGAAAGCCACTAGATACAAAGAAGCCATTTTTGTCCAACAGTCCGTTACAATAGCACACTACTCCAAAAGCCAATTGCTTACTAAGGACACAATCCCACATCCCAATCTAAGCACAAAAGCCAATTGCTTACAAAGCACACAATCACACGTTCTCCTGGCGAGACCTCAAATCATCTTCGTAATATCTATCAAACTATAGATCCTACACATCTACTGGACGTAGATTATAAAAGTACAATACACTTCTCGCTAGATGTCCAAACTATTCCACAATTTAGGATTTTCCAGAGAGGGTTATTTGTGAATAAACGACCCTCCGGAGCGTTTGCAATCAACGGGAGCATGTTGTTTCTTACACGACCACTAGAGGTGCTCACTTTAAAACGTGACTGGGTCGTATTTAGCTGCTGAACAATCGACCTATATGGTCGTTTTTTGTAGGAGGAAGGGCTGAGATTTTTAGTTGCAGTGTAGCTCAATAATGCATGTTAGCTAAACAGCAGCAGGTGAAATATGTGTACAGTTCATAGATGTGTATATACAGTTGTTTTATTTTTCATAAATGTTTTTTTATTATAAATGAAATGCTTTACAAGATTTAAAGTGTTTTCTCTTAATATAACACAAAGTATTGCCTTCCAACCGTGTTCTTTTTCTGTAAATGATCAATCTTTCCCAATAAACATACAAATTAGAGCACTATACATAACACGTTTTGAAGATAGATTGGTTCTTTGACAGTCTTATAATGTTTAAGGTGACCTATTATGCAAAGGGCACTTTTTTATGTATTTTATACATAAATATGTGTCCCCGGTGTTTAAGGAGACATACAACGTGTCAGAAAATAAAACCCTCTCTCGCACCATGGAGCTGATCCAGATTTGCTGAGAACTTGACGTCATTACTAAATTATGGGCTGGCTTTACATTGAAGTCCTGGCAACGTTCCCTATCAGAAACGTCTCTCTACCAGAAACCATGTGTGACATGTTTTGGAAGTAATATGGTCTGTGTTTACATTAGCAAGCATCGCTAACACTCAGAGCTAACGCTGTACTGGAGAGAGTATGTGGAAAAAAGCAGGATATAAAAACTCATCTTGTGGTAAACCCGCGAGAGAGAAAGCATTTGAGCTCCATACTGTTTCAGAAATAATGCTTGATGTGGTTTGGAACATAATATGGCGTTTAATCACGGCAGCGTTTAGGTGAGTTTCTGCTAGTAGACAGCCTTCTCTTCACAGAGCTCACACATGCAGAAAGGGGCGTGGCCTGCAGCAGCTTGGTTTATATTTAAAGCTACAGACCCAGAATCAGCACTTTAGTAACAGGACTGACATAGAGGGGTATGAGGCATGGGTGATCTGTCTGCTATTTTGAGCAAAACACTTCATAGAAATGTTTTGTATCGATATGGCCCAATAATATATTGTTCAAATATAGCCTAATAGGTGAGCTTAAAGTTGTTTCCCCAGTCTTTTAGTGCCTTTAAATTAGGGTATTGGGTAAGGTTTTCAGTGTAGGTAGAAACTGAGTACAAACTGGGGACAAACACTGCCGTTGTGCTGCTTCTTTAATGTGCAAAAAGGAACTCACCTTGTGAAAAACTCGCAAGAGAAAAAGCATTTAAGCTCCATACTGTTTCAGAAATAATCCTTGATGTGGTTTGGAACATGATGGCTTTAATAACAGCAGAATGTAACCCTTGTGTGGTGTTCATATTTTTGTTACTCAGCCAGTGTTCTTGGTTCTGGTGGACCCGCTGCCTTTTGGGGCTTCAATTCAACACAATCAAACTATGTGATGTTAAAATACTCAACAAATGTTTACTTCGTCCCAATTACAAGCAATATAAACAGCATATATGGTTAATATTTGCCTTTTTATATTTGTTAGATCACATTAATGAATTAAAGTGCTACTTTTTATAGCGTTAGCGTTTTGCCCGCTGACCGGCTGGTCCTCCTGTGGCTTGTCTTTTTTGTGTAACTAGCTGATGCTCAATCTCATCCTCTTCTTCAAAGAATTCTCAGAAATGTTATCCTCACATTCTGAAACCTCTTCCTCTTCCTCTTCATCAAATGGTTCTCTCTCTTCCAAAATAATCTGCAAGGCCCTCTGAGCAGAGAATCTGTTGGCCATCTTGATCAGTTGTGATAAGGACCCAAACTGGCGAAGCTTTATTTATTGTCTTGCCCCAAATGTGCAGCTGGGTTAGAGTGTGAAAAAAATAAAGATTGGTTCCTGCAAAACATAATGTGGGAATGTGAGAGCAGACAGGTGTCGGTGCTTGAATTGAACAACAATGTTGCAACCTTGTGCGGGAATGGCAGGGGCAGGAACACAAAAGTCTCACACACACACACACACTAACAAACACACACACACAAATACCATGTATACATCACTTCAAGGGACATTACATTGACTTACATGCATTTCCTGGAGACTTATCCTAACCTTAACCATAACCAACACATGCCTAACCCTTACCCTTACCAAGTCTTCAACCTAAAATTAATGATTCCCCTCATGGGAACCTCCATTATGTCCCCATAAGGGAGGCGAGTCCCCACACGTGACTGTGTAACAGATGTAGGTCCCCACAAGGATGGTAATGCTAGGCCACACACACACACACACACAGAAGGCCCAGACAGTTGCACAGAACAGGACCTACAATTTTCTCACTTTTGTTAGCCCCGGGTCCAGTGAACCCGAACATCCTGTATGTAATGTAAATGTAGGGGGGGGGTGTACATCAGAGTCCTGCACTGGTCTGATTTTCAAGACCCGCTCCCGCCCCGCACCCGCGGCGTGCAATACCGAACCCGCCCCGCTACCCGCACATATTGCAATTAGTTCCGCAACCCGACCCGACCCGTCGGCACAAGATCCGCAACCCGACCTGCTCATATATATGAGCAGTGAAAATGTGCAATTATTAACACACGCAGTTGCATATTTGTCTCAAAAAGCGTAGGATGTTGGTTATTTTCTCCATCTAGGAACCAAAAGCCTCCAGACGTTGGATTTCGCTCTTGAGGAAGTGTTATTGAAAATGCTGTATTCTCCGCTAGAGAGCTTCACCTCAGCCATTTCGAATGTGGCGCGCTCAGCAGCAGATTGATGCGCTGCAGAGGTTATGATTATGCGCGGTCCCGCGGGGGAGAGGACGTCTGAGAATTTAAACATTAAACTAAATTATTATTATTTTAATATATGTATTATGCAACACCCGCGACCCGACCCGCATCATCTTTGTTTTACCCAGAACCGAACCCGGAAAAAAGCGTTCATTCACCACCCGTGAATCACTTTTTTTGCGGGTCACCCATCGGGTACCCGGAAAATGTTTGTCAAACCTGTATTTCAATTTCCCGAAACATACCGCATGTCAAAAGGTGTATTTTTATGTGTTAGAAATCATTAGAGGTGTGTGTTGAAAATAAAATATGTTGTCTTAAAGGGACAGTGCACCCAAAAACAAATAAACATATTTTTCCCTTTACATTTTTCCTTTCTACTGTGCTATTCTTTCTGTTTTGCTTCTAATGTTTGAGAGATTATATCTGTATAGGTGTCCGGCTTTCTTCCAATATTTTCACTTCAATTTCAATTTTGACTTTTCACAAAATTGATTTTCTTCAGAATATTCTCAGGATTTCACTTTTTTTCTCAAAACTTTTTTTTCCTAGAATTTTTACGTTATTCACAGAATTTTTTATTTCATCAGAATTTTGGCTTGTTCAAGCAAAGTTGAATTTCTTCAGAAATGTTGACTTTTTTCAGAATGTAATTGATTTTGACATTTTTCTCAGAATGTTTTTACAGAAATGTTGACTTTAAGGGACATTGCACCCAAAAACAAATACATATATTTTTTCTTTTACATTTCTCCTTTTAACTGTTGAGCTAATCTTTCTGTTTTGTTTCTAAAATTTGAGATTTTATCTGTATAGGTTTCCAGCTTTCTTCCAATATTTTAACTTTTTTTTTTTAGAACTGTGACTTTTCTCAGAATTTTGATTTTTTTTCAGCATTTTTTTATTCATAAAATGTAAAGGATCTGAATATCTTTTTATACCACCACTCAAATATACTTCACTCTCGTCACCTCTCGTCATGCTGCGATTCTGCCAGCAGGTGGCGTCCTGCAGAGCATCAACCTGTGTTATAGGAAGGAGCTTCATTTATCCAGTGTATGGGAAGGAGTGTATGAGCATATGTTTGCAGCTCCTCCCGTTATATTCCCTCACAGAGCACTTGGTCGGTATCTTACACATATTTTTCAGGCTGCAGATCTTTGTGTCGCAGAGTCCTGAAAGAGCAGCATATTTTTTAACAATATGGAAAAGGAGAGAAGATCCTCAAAGCAGTACGGCTCTTTGGAGAAGACGCAGGTGGAGGGAGCGACGCAGAAATCAAGTGAGTTATAATTGGAAGTCATGTAGTGTTTATATTTCACTGGATGCATGCTTTCATTATGTTGCTGTTTTAAGTCATTAGCAAAAGAGGAGATGTGTGCATGGCCCCAACTTTCTGCAGATATTATAATTAAAGCATCAGGTCGCTATGGAAACACATTTACACCACCAATAACATAATAAAAATGTACTTTGCAATGAAAAAAAGATCCTGTAAAAGTATTTGCATTTCATTGTTATCAAAGTTATTTTTGGAATACATTGGAAAATTAACAACCTCTGGAATGTCCAAATTGACCAATCAGAATTGAGCATTCAACTAATATAACAATAAATCATATACAAATAAAAACGTATATATTTTATCTAGATTGATACTAAGACTTCTATACTTACCTTGAATTTAAATGCAATACTTTTCCTTGTAAAAAAGTATTTCTACACTGTGGTATCACTACTTATACGTGTGTGTGTGTGTGTGTGTGTGTGTGTGTGTGTGTGTGTGTGTGTGTGTGTGTGTGTGTGTGTGTGTGTGTGTGTGTGTGTGTGTGTGTGTGTGTGTTGTGAGATAATACACATTAATTAAGCTGTGGATTCAGCAGATGTGTGTGTGTGTGTGTTTGGGGAGTGTGTGTTTGTAGATGAAATCCCCGGTGATCCAGTGTGTGCAATTGTGTTTTCACACGAGGTCTGGTAATTAAAAGCTGATCCGAGACTCATGGTGAGGAGGAGGGGCAGTGCAGCTATTTTACTAAATTGTATTTAATTTGATTTAGTGATGCTTGAGGAATTAGTGGGAGGAATTACACGGAGGTTTGGTCAGAGCGGGATGGTGAATTGGTTCCAGGGAAGATTTGAAGGTGCCTTGGGGTTTTTTCCTTTCCTGTAGTGTGTTATATAGGTTTTAGTGCTTGTAAATGTTCTGTAAAGGCAAACATCCCTGTGACTGAGCTCTGGTTTCAGACAGAGGGTGAAAAGAGGTGCTGCAGCACAGGCAGTGTGAGACAAATAAAGAGCTTTTTGAACATTAAAGCATGGAGACGTGTCCCAGTAGAGACACTAAATAGTAACATGAACCTGCAAATTATAAAAGAGCCACTTACTTCACCTGAAATGTCCAAATGCCTTTTTTAGGGTCTACGGTCCACCATGTTTTCTTTGAAATTGTCACAATACAGTAGTTTACAGTAGTTGCTTCATATTCAGTGGCGGCTGGTGGGAAATATCTTTGGTGGGGCTGTTGATATAGTGAGTAAACATTTTTTTTTTGGGAGAAATTACCCCTTAAATTAGGACTTCTGGTGATGTAATGGCGCATTTCCAGTGCAGCGCGGAGCTCGCTTTAATGCTGCATTCAGACCGGACGCTATGCAAATATTCGCTTCGCTCTAAACGCTCCTATCGCATCGCTCTAGTCGCTCGAGTTTCACCGCGGCTGCCAGCTGTGTTTACTCGCATCATTCAAACAAGACGCGCTGGCTCGGGAGCTACAACTACAACAAAATGAACTTATTTTACCGTGATTAAATTGTAATACACATTTCTAAATGATGCCGACGTAACAACATACTGATACCGGTTAGTAAAAACCATGAATTAATGCTTTGACAAGTCTGCAGACAGACGGCAGGCGAAAAACCTTTTAGAATGCTTGTTTTCTGAATGGAGCTTGGCTAAGCGAACGTTATATATGCTTCGACCGTCCACACTCACAACAACGGCCTATACAGACATAAATAAACCAGCGACTGTATTCTCCATGACACAGACAGTCTGTGGTTTGTACTTGTTTAACTTTTGTCTAGTTTCTGAACAGATCGTATCTGTCCCCGGCTGTTTGAAGAGCAAGCATGGGAAACAAAAGATAGCATTTACCTGTTTGCAGCCAGCTAGCCATGCCTTTCTGGTGTACCAGCTACGTGAGAAGCCTGCCTCGTTGATACGTTTTGTCTTTTTCACGAGCTTGCTGTGATATATACAAATCGGGTTGGTCCGGTCCAAGGTCTTTAAGTATCAATTTAACTCCCAAACTTCTCCTTTCGAAAGGATTGGAGAGTAGCTCTTGCACGGAATTGGGCGGGGACCGAGGTCCGGCGACTCCACCTGCACACCATCCGGTTTCGCTACGAGTGGTCGCATTTTCGAGAGCTCCCGCTTTGGAGGTTATTCCTCACGATTTTTTACATATTTCATCCTCCTGACAATATAGATTATGGACTTAGAGACGGAGAGTAATGAAAGCGGGGATAAAATGAACCACAATGACTTTTACCTTCTCAACGGCTGGGAAAGGAAACACCTCGCTTTTGGAAGTGCAAGCATTCATGCATTATTAACTGCAAACCCGACGCGAAAGTACTTACCCCCGTCAGGCAAACTAGACCGAAGAAGTATGATCGTCTTGGTCTTATTGTTAGCGGGAGACATCCATCTGAATCCGGGCCCGGTGCAGACAAGAAGCCAGTCCTGCAGGCTCGAGGAGCTAGCATCACAACTAGCATCTCTTCCGCTGCAGCAACAACTACACGACGACAACAGAGACCGTGGAGACAGCGGAGACCGAGGAATAAACGGAGACTTCGACATTCCCCCGGGGACGCCTCGGCAGACAGACACGCATGAGGCAGTGACGAGAGGAAGAGAACCGAGATCCGAGGGAACAAATATCCGCCATGTTGTTAGCCACCCTGCTAGCATATCAACGGCTAAAGCTACAACGGAGCCTCCCTCCCCCCACCACCCCACCGCTCCAAACACCACGGCAGGCCGCACGCCGGTTGCTGTAACGGACAAAGACAAATATCTGCAAGCTGACGACATTGTGCATTTAAGCAACAAAAATGGACTACATATTTTTCATCTGAACACTAACAGCCTGAGACACAAACTGGCTGAACTCAGGCAGCTATTCATGAACGGTAAGGCAAGCATATTATGCTTTTCTGAGACCAAATTGGACAATTCCATTACAGATTCAGAGATTGAAATTGAAGATTATCTTGTAGTGAGAAGGGACAGGAACGTGAATGGAGGTGGTGTCTGCATGTACATACATAAAGACACCAATTTCAAAAACCGTACTGACCTGCATCATGAAAATATTGAATCTGTGTGGGTTGAAATTATTTTTGACAATGCTAAATCTGTAATAGTCGGGACAATCTATAGACCACCGGAACAGAGTGACTTTTATGATACATTAGATGGGTGTTTTGGCTGATGTGGGGGATGTAGAGACAATTATTATTGGAGACTGGAACACGGATATGCAACGTAAAGACACGTCCGTCTTCAAGTCCTTCAGTAGGATTTGTGATCTGCATGGCTTCAGCCAGCTAATCACCCAACCCACCCGGGTATGTGAAACAACACAAACTACCATTGATCTCATTCTGACCTCTGACAAGTCCAGGATCTCCAGTAAAGGGGTTATAGCATGCGGGTTAAGTGATCATTATATGATATTCTGTACCCGCAAAAAGCTAAAACAAAGGGCCGGCTGTCACAAAACAGTCATATCTAGAGACCTCAAAAACTACTCTAGCGAGGCCTTTAACCTAGAACTGGAGAGCCTGGACTGGTCAGATGAGCTCAGTGGTATACAAGTTGAAGAAACATGGCTTGGTTTCAAAAACAAATTCACTGCAATACTCAATGATTTGGCCCCACTAAGAACAACCAGGGTAAAAAAATCGCGCTGAGCCGTGGATGCACTCCGGCATACTGACCGCCATGAAAACCAGAGACAAAAAATGCTCTGAGTTTCATAAAAGTCAGTCAATGCTTTCTCCAGGCCCACGTGACTGAACTAAAAATTGAAAGAAACAGACTAAGAAATTACGTAAGCTCCATGATCAAAACTGCCAAAAAAAATTTCATCAATGTCAAAACTAAGGAAAACAAAAATAAACCCCGTGAACTTTGGAAATTACTCAATAACCAGATTGGCTGCAGTAAAAAACTTAAAACGAGATTTTCAAACTTAAACATAAAGACAGATAACAGGCTCATCACAGACAAACTGGATGTGGCCAAGTACTTGAACATTTTTTTCACAAACATAGCCACAACTCTTGTAAATAAATTACCCTCCCACTCAGGGCTTTTTGGAGTAGATCACATCATGACCTACTACAAAAACCTAGGGGTACGCAAAGATGATTTCAGTCTAGCAAGGGTAACAACAGCAGAGGTACTCATTAAACTGAGCGCCCTCCAACCTAACAAGGCCACTGGCCACCACAATATCCATATCCCCTCCAAATTCCTCAGAGACACAGCAGCCGCCATCTCACCAGTCATAGCTCACATAATTAACCTCTCCATAAAACAGGGAAAAGTACCCAAAGACTTCAAATTGCAAGAGTAACCCCCCTGCACAAAAAGGGCAGCAAATTGGACCCAGGCAACTACCGCCCTGTTTCTATACTTACCTCCATCTCGAAAGTCATGGAAAAAATAGTATATGAACAGGTCGAAAAGTACCTCGCGGAAAAGAAACTAATCTATGAATTTCAATCTGGTTTTAGAACATCCCACTCCACTGACACATGCCTTCTTTATTTGAGCGACCACATCAAACAAGAGGTGGACGAGGGCAAGTACTGCGGCATGGTGATGCTGGACCTACAAAAGGCTTTCGACACTGTCAATCACCCCATTCTGATTGACAAGCTAAAAGCAATTGGTTTTGATAAACTATCGGTGAGCTGGATGCAATCCTACCTGGAGGGGAGAGAACAGATGGTGGAGGTAAACGGTACTCTGTCTCCCCCCCCCCCCCAGTGAGCTGTGGTGTTCCACAAGGAAGCATATTAGGTCCGTTACTGTTCCTAATTTATGCAAACGACATGTCATCAGCATGTGACTGCAACTTGTTCCTGTTCGCGGACGACTCAGCCCTGCTGGTCTCTGACAGGAACAGATTGCAGGTTGAAAAAACCCTCAGCTCCGAGCTCGGCAGAATCTGCACCTGGCTCGCCGATAATAAATTATCATTACACCTGGGTAAAACAGAGTCCATTCTCTTCGGTTCGAAACATAATCTCAGCAAATCCGACGACTTCTCAGTTGCAGTGGGCGACATTATTGTCACAAGTAAGAAGGAAATTACATACCTAGGATCTATTCTTGAGGCAAACCTCTCCTGTGACAAAATGGCATCCAATGTAATAAAAAAAGTCAATCAAAGAACTAGATTCCTATACCGGATCTCCTCTCTGGTAAACAAAAACACCCTGAAAACTCTGTCAGGAGCACTCATTCAAGGGTACTATGACTATGCTTGCACGTCATGGTACCATAGCACCTCCAAGGCGCTAAAAATAAAACTTCAAACATCGCAAAATAAACTGGTCAGACTACTGCTTGACCTTTCATCTAGAACCCACCTCACCTCTGCCCACTTTGACAACCTAGGATGGCTTAGAGTAGACGACAGAGTACAGCTACTTGCAATGGGCCTGGTCTACAAGATCCACTACACCTCTATGGTACCCATGTACATGTCAAAATTATTCCCAAAGGTCAAGGAATACCATGATCATAACACCAGAGGGAGCTCCACAAATCATGTGAAACCCAGATTTGGCACAAAAAAGGGGGAATACACGTTTCGCAATTATGCCACATCAAGGTGGAACGCTCTTCCCACAACTGTAAAGGAAAGTAAAACTATACTTACCTTCAAAACCTCTCTTAAAGAGCACCTTCGGGGGAGAGCATTGCAAAACTGGCCCCGGTAATGGTACAAATCTCAACCTGTCGTACAATGGACAGCTTCCCCCCCATCTATGTATATACTCGCATTTTAGACTCTGTTACTAACTGTACATCTGTAGACTTGGTATGTCTTAAATGTCCGGTTAGGATGTATTAGAACGAAATCTAAAATGAAAATTGTAAATAAGCAATCTGTATGTAAAAAACCACCTGTATGTAAATTGTAAATAAGCCATCTGTATGTCAAATATGTCTTATATGTCTTAAATGACATGATGAATTGGAAATGGGGGACCCTGATGTAAACAAGACGAAAGTCTTTCTCTGGTCTGCATCCCCTTAACAATTGTATGTTTTGAGCTGTACTGTACTGTACCCAATATACAAGCTGTTAATAAACTTTTCAATCAATCAATCAATCAAAACCATTCTCATCCAAATACTGCGTCACCTTGGTCACTCACGAGTCTAAAAAACAACTCACGTCAACGCACGTAAGCAACGTGGGCGCCAACGTGGGCGCCAACGTGGGCGCCCTCGTGATCAAAATATTTGACGGCGCTGATTGGCTGAAATTATGTTTCGGCGGCACAGTTTACTATTGAGACTTTTGCAACGTGCTGGTTGCTGCTGTTTGTCTCGGGGGCCCGGTAATGATAGACTAATGCCACGGGCAAGGCCAGGCAGGAAACATGTGACTTATCAGTAACTTTAGACATCGTAACACAATTTTAAACGAGATTGTATTGTAGATTATACATTTGACTGATACCAATTGTATGATATTTACCTTGTTCATTAAAAATAAAAATATAAAATATATTTTTTTTTAAAATATTTTTTTTTTAAATATTTTTTTTTGTATTTAATTTTTTTTTTAATATATTTTTTTGTATGTGGGAAGAGGTGGGGCGGCGCACCTATGGGCCAGCCGCCACTGTTCACATTAATGTTGTGTCAATGGTTTGAGGATAATAGTAGAATTATTTGAATATGTGTATCTCTACTTATCCCGTTATCAGGCCCAGAAAAATGTGTTTTGTTGTTGTTTGTTTTCCAGCAGAGGATGTTGTTTCCATGGCGGACTCCACGATTACGACCGAGGACATCGAAGGAGAGCTGAGCAAAATTGAGCGGATAAGAGACATTTTGGTACGGAGGGAATCCGAGCTGAGATACATGTAAGAATTGCACATTTAAAATAAGAGAGACACAAACAAAAGGACACTGACAGAGAGTTAAGACCCAAGATGACTCCCAAGAAGAGTCTTTCTTGGGATGACCCCGGTGAGGTTAAGGAAAAGTGGTTAGGAAAGACAGACAATCAAACACAGAACAACACATGTGAAATTGAAAGAATATGTGCAGGGATCTGAATAAACCAACATACTGTCAGCAGCCCCTCAGGAAACAAAGACGAAACACTGTGACTGTCAGAGAGAGCAGCCATGTGCACGACGGCAAAAAGTGTGTCAAGAAAACAGCATGGCTTTAACTCTGAGCAGAATACACACACACACACACACACACACACACACACACACACACACACACACACACACACACACACACACACACACACACCACACACACACACACACACACACACACACACACACACACACACACACACACACACACACACACACACACACACACCACACACACACACACACACACACACACACACACACACACACACACACACACACACACACACACCACACACACACACACACACACACACACACACACACACACACACACACACACACACACACACACACACACACACACACACACATTACATTGACTTGCATGCATTTCCTGGAGACTTATCCTAACCTTAACCATAACCAACACATGCCTAACCCTTAACCTTACCCTAACCAAGTCTTCACCCTAAAATTAATGATTCCCCTTGTGGGGACCTCCATTTTGTCCTCACAAGGGACTGTGTAAACAGATGTAGGTCCCCACAAGTATAGTAATGCTAGGCCACACAACACACACACACACACACACACACACACACACACACAGAGACATACACACATGTTCTTACTTATTTCCAGATCTCAAAGGATGCCCGTTTCTCTGTTCTCTCTCTTATCCTGTCTTTTAATTATTTCAATTTTTTTCTGTCAATGCCGTCCTCATTATTTCGACACATGAGAACAGCGACCAGCTCTGCATAATGCGGCCATAAGATGAATCAGGGAAAGAGAGAATAATGACTTCTGGTTTTGTTTTTGCTGCCTCCAGTCTTTAATGTTACTGGTCTTTTAAGTTTAGCCTTTCAGTTTCACACATCATGTTTTCACTTTGATCCATAATCCTCTGCATCCAGAGGCTAACAAAGGGATGCACAACATCACTATCAATCATGTTGTTTTCCTGCATGTAACGAAATGTATTGTATCAAGTGAAACTAATACAATAACTGAAGCTCAACCATTGTGGGGAGAGTTGGTAGATGAAAGAAGAGGACATAGTCATGAAAAAAATGAACAGCCAACTCCTTGATGTATCTTTTAGTACAACCGAATGCTGGACATAAACATTTAGGCAATCAACAGACCCTGACATATCGCCTATTTTACACTGAATGGGTCAATATTTTTACAAAGACTTTGAACTAGCGATTGAGACCATAAAATGATTTTGCTATCAATTTAAAAATAAGGCAGATGTAAGGCACTGCCACATGGCTTCACTTTTTCAAACCTTTATGGTGTCTCTGATTGGATTTATGTTTTCCACTTTTTTTAGGATTATTAATGTCTTTCTTTTGATTGGTCAGTCCCCTTTTATAGTCTTTGGTCTGTCCACCATGTTTGTCAAGACTGGAGAGTTTTTTCGATAGATAATTGATACTGACTTTCATTTTAATCATTACTACTGAACAAATGCTAGCCAGGCCCATTAGCAGGTTAGCATTGCAACAGAGCTGCTCGCATGGCCGTTGATTTGCGGCTTTTGCCAGTCAATGCAGACTCACTGTGACACAAAGAAGACTCTCATGCAGTAACATTTTAAATAAACTCTCCAAACTGGCAGCACTTTGCTCATCCTGAAATATATAATACCCTCTGCTGAAGGACCAAGAGCTGAGAGTCCATTTTTCAATCAGTCATTTCCCTGTTTATGCCATCACTATAATAACAGCTCACACACACACACACACACACACACACACACACACACACACACACACAACACACACACACACACACACACACACACACACACACACACACACACACACACACACACACACACACACACACACACACACACACACACACACACCACACACACACACACACACACACACACACACACACAACAACACACCACACACACACTCACTTCAGGGGATATTACATTGACTTACATTCATTTCCTGGAGACTTATCCTAACCTCATGCCTAACCCTAACCCTAACCCTAGCCAAGTCTTCACCCTAAAATTAATGATTCCCCTCATGGGGACCTCCATTATGTCCCCATAAGGGAAGTCAGTCCCCACACGGGACTGTGTAAACAGATTTAGGTCCCCACAAGGATGATAATGCTTGGCCACACATACATACACACACACACAAACACTGGTGTGACAGCTCCTGATGTTTGACGGTGAAATTAGATCAGATACTGTCAGCTGTGATTCGTTCACAGAGGGCAGCGTGGCCGTGTTTTTCCAGCTAATAATCTCACGGACATCGCTGTCAGTGTGTTTCTGTTTAAGTCAATTTCACACTTGTGTTTGTATGGGAAGGAAATTGCTTTGCTGCCATGACACGATATCCATGTTGTGTTTTTAAAGAAGAGGCATAGATATAACCTGTTTTCCTGCCAAATATTTGTTTGTTTGTCTGTTTTCCACTCAGGATGGACGACATTCAGCTCTGCAAAGAAATCACGAGGCTGAAGACAGAGCTGCAGAAGCTTGTCTCAATTCAAGGTAAATGAAAAACTAGTCACTCTCTTACTGTTACATCTTTTAAACCTGCAGGAAATGTCGAATTCAGTTATTATTTGCCGTGTATCGTTGAAGAGATGCCAGCGAAACCGTAGCAATGTCTTTTTCTGACCAGCAGTTACCTTAGAGACAAAGACTGGAGGGATTTCAACACATTTTCTGTACAAGCTGAATACAAATAAAACTTTTCACATCCAATTACCTCAAACACAGACAACGATCCTCTCAAGGCTTTCCCATTTTCCACTTGAGCTTTGGTTATATAATGTCTACTGTCTGAATAAACTCAAAGTATTTGAAATATGAAAAGTGTCTATTTGGACTGCCTCTTAGTGTATATGCTACATTAATTCTCCTAAAGTGTTTGTATTTGATAGAAAATGGCAAAGAATAGAAGAAAGAAAGTGACTAGCTTGCAGTTGGATGCTAACATCGAGTTAGCATAAGTGGCTAGATCAAACTGCGGTCCTATGATTGTTAATAGGACTCATCTAAGACATCTTTGTTCGTTTTTTTGATGAATTGAAAATGGGAACAATCTGAAGGATCTCTGTTAGTCCAACTGTAGGCTAAAATCACACTTAGTTGACCCTCAACGCTTAAGAAAGATAGAAACATTAGCCTCTTTTAGCTTAGCGTGGTGATGTGAAGTCATGTGACCGTGCTGTAGTTCCTTTATAGCCTAATATTATATTTGTATCTTCTTACAAGACATTAACATAATAGCTGTAAGCTGTCTGCTAAACATCATGGTCAGTCACTGTGTTTCACAGTCATGCTAGCTTGCAGAGGTTAGCATCTAGCTGCAAACACAGCCTCCTTAAAGATCAAATGCAAAGCTTGTTGTATAATTGCCAGTACAATCGAAATCATATAGCTACAACACTATCTAAGATATTGCAGTATTAAAATCGGAGATAATATGAGTCTGGCAATGCGCAATATTAATTTTGTTCAACCCCCAACACCAAGTCCGACGATTTATTTTCTCCGCCGCTCCTCCGCAAGATGGCGGCGCGTGACGTCAGATGTGCCAAACATATTTCCACCTGGCTTATCAATCACAGCGGCTTCCGCCGATAGTACAACTAGTTTCGTCTATCATGTCTGATTCTGAGTAGACTATAGACTAAAAGCTTTAGGAATCCAAACTATAACATATAATAAGTACCCAGTATCAGTGCTTGAATTGGAATGAAAAAGGTGCCAGTACTCTAAAATCAGCAACTTTTTCAAGTCAATTTTATATATACAGCCCACAAACAAGAATTTGGCTACTATAATGCTGGTGGGTTTGTCTCTTTACTACTGTATATTTTAGAAAGGTTCACTGTACTTAACATTTTTTATGATAGGCAGCGGATATGGCTAAAGCTCAGTAAGGTCAATATTAACTGAAAATATAGCAATCAAAGTCTAGATCTTCTGCTGAAGACACATGAAGCAGAGACCTTTCAGGTGAGAGCCCCTCTGGTGGTGTTCAACATTAATGACAAGGAAACAAAGCTCTGGTCAGAAGCATTTTTTATAAAAAGCTTTAACAAAATTAAGTATTTCTGTACATTTTGAATGCAATCTAACTTTCCAACTCAGAAAACGAAAAACGAAAAAGTGCCAAAAGTCTTCTCACATGGCTGAGCTGCTTTGCAATATACTTCACCACTGAAGAATACAAATATGTATAAAGTAAACTATGATGCAATCTAACTTTCCAACTCAGAAAAATGATAAAGAGCATGAACAAAGAACATGTAAAAACAAATGCTAAATGTGCACAATCTAAAATGAGAAACTGTAACTGCAAGTAACAAAGTCTGAGCCATGGTAAAGAGTTACATTGAACACCAAGCTGATCAGATAACTCCCTGGTTGGTCTGAAGTCCTTCTATCTCCAGGATCTGTACAAATCGGCACATTATGCCAAAAGTCTTATCACTGGGTGAGCTGCTTTGCAATATACTTCACATTGTTAGAAAAGGCTCCAGAAGGCCTTGGGGACATCAGTATCAGGGGCTGGAGCTGGAGCTGGACAGGCTCTTTCATCAGCACTTCTCCTTCCCTTTGCCAGCCAGGACCTCACATACTGTTCCGGATTGAACTGTCCTAGTGATGGTCCATTACATTTAATGAAAACCAGGCTGGACAGTCGGCTGACAGAGAGAGCATTCCTTTTTGCAGTAAGGATATCGTTCATGCAGCTGAATGCCCGCTCACACTCACTAGTGGAGACAGCGATGGTTCGGACTGCTTTCAGTAGAGGCTCCATGGCAGCAGGTGTACGGGATGCCCTGGTTTCCTTGTATTCGCGAAAGCCCTGAACAGTCTCTCTTCTGTCCACTTTCAGCACTTCGCACAAACGTAGCACCTCTACGTCCCCATACTGTACGTCTAACTCCTCTTCAGGCCAACTTCCAGGATGGATAACTTTCATGTACTGGATTAGCTGATTGTCCCGGGCCTCCCGGCCATGTAATGGGATTTCTCTTGTGCTGACATGAGAGGAGGTTGTGGAAGTCATTCTGTGTCTCAGATTCTCTACCATACTGCGGAAAAACTGACCTGCATGAATCTGTACAAGCCTGCCATTCTCACGCAGGGCAACACCCTCCCTTGAAGGACTTCTCAGCTAGAGCTGTATGAACTGTAGTCATGTGTGGGCCAGGCATGGTGACCATGGATTCAAAAACTCGTATTTCTCGAGTTAAGAGCATATCTGCTGTAGGCAGTGTCATCTCTCTTTTTTGGAGTTGCCGAGAGAGGTCGCTGAGCTCTGTGAGCGCATCGTACATCAGTCCCAGATTGCTGACAAACGTTGCAGATGTGAGCACATCATCCAGGCCCTTGTACTTTGCTCTGTCTCTGGAATCCCTGCTTGTGTCGTTTGCAGCATTTGTGAAGTGATCATGAAGCACTCTGTAGTTTTCCCAGACTGCTCTGACGCTCCTTTCACTTGAAGCCACCCAGCGGATGGACAAAACACGCCCTATCACCAGGAGACGCTGTCCGACTGCTTGCGCACACTGCGCTAACTGCCTCTGATTTTTGGGGGAGGCATGGAACAAGGAATAGAGTTTGTCAAAAAAGATCTGGAAATGATTGAGCCCTGAGACCTCCTTGACCACATCCCCAACTGCCAGCTCTAGACGATGATTGGAGCAGTGCCACACAAACAGGCTTGGGGATTTACTACACAACTGGGTAGCAACGCCTGTTCTCTTCCCTAGCATGACTGAAGCCCCATCACATGCAAAATAAACGAAACACTGACCTAAAAAGTCCTCGTTAAAATCTATTCCAAGACACTCCATTAACGCCTTTGTGATGTCATCAGCCGTTGTTCCATCCAACTCGATCAGCTCCCAAAAAAACGTTTCGGGCTCAGCATCAGCTAATGCTGAGCGTAGACACACAACAAGCACCGTTTTACCACTAATAGTGGTAGATTCATCGACCAAAACACAGAGTTTTCTTTGGTTTTCTGTAATGTCTTTTGCCATTTTTTTCTTCAGCTCATGAGCTATGTGGTCGATGATTTCGCCACAGGTTTTATTGGAGTGCAAAACCCTGCCCACGTTCAGCCCATTCAGTTTCTGTACATTCAAATCAATTGGCATGTCTGTGAATGGCCGGCTATGTTTGCCAATTTTATATGCCGTTCGAAAAACTCTGATAGTGGTGTCTAATTCAGATTTATGCATAGACTGCACTTGATGTTGAATAGTTTCACGTGAAGCAGATGTAAGGATGTCAGCAGCTTTTACATGGGCTTGTGATTCTTTATGTTCTTTGATTTTTTTTCTCAGGCTAGCTTGTTGTTTGCCCTTGTCAACACCGAAATGAGACACTGCACACTCACCCCATTCAGTTGACAGTTTCAGTCCTTGTCCAGTGTGTATTCCCAAAGATTTGACATCTCTGCATATCCGACATCCTAGCTTCTTATATTTAAGAAGGAGCCATGCATTGGTCTTGCAAAAATATTGCACCTGGTCCGTTGTCCAGCAGTCAGGTGCATCGCTTTGCCCGGTGTTGGTGGTGGCAGTTGCGCCAGCAGCAGCTAACGTTAGAGGCTCTGGAGGCGGCGGCGGAGCTAGTGCTAATGCTAATGCACTAGAACTTGGAGCAGGAGGATCAATCAGGAGAAAGCTCCCCATCAGACACAATTTCCAACACAGGCACAGCATTCTCTGTATTTGAAGTTTCTTCCGGCGACAACCGCTGTCTTTTTGCACTTTTATTAATCCACGCTAACATTTTAGAAATGCTAATTTGTGACGTGACTTGCTTTCCTTCTCTCGGGGGCGTGCCTGCTCTGTTCTATCACTCTACATAGCCACCCACTGGGTGGGAGTTGCACTGCATAAACACAACACACGTGCATCTAGGTATGTAAATTGTAAAGCATTAAAACATGGTTTTACTAACAGTTTTCAGTATGTTGTTACTTCGGCATTATTATTATTATTATTTTGAAACGTGTATTACTATTAAATCACGGTCAAATAGGTTAATTTTGACATAGTCGTTTCCACCACAGTATTTACATGGAGAAGATAAGCCCCGCCCCCTCTCCAGCACGTTCTGTTTGAATGACAGGAGTAAACAGCTGACAGCCGCTGTGAAACTCCAGCGGTTAGAGCGATGAGAATGTCCGTTCGGCACCTCATGACGCATCTACTGAGTACCGGGCGGCTGTATATATATATATGGATGTATAATAAGAACGGCGGGAGAGTGTTGAGTACTGGCACGGTGCATGAGTACCGGAGTACCGCCAGCATGCCGGTACTGAGCAAGAAGTGCCGGTACTCCATGGGTCAGAACCAGAAGTGCCGGTACTGCGTACCGGTGAGTACCGGCCCAATTCCAGCACTGCCCAGTATCAAGATTGATGCAAAACAAGTGAAATTTGACCTTTTTAGAGAGGTTTAGAAAAATAAAGTCCAGGCGGACTCACCTCACAAGGACGAGGTGGATGGGAATTTGTTCAATGCCTAACATATTTCCACCCGGCTTATCATGTCTGATTCTGAGTCGGAGGCCACCCAATATCTGGAGTATGTTGTCGACATCCAACCCCATCTCTACGAGCCTCTGATGTCGAAGAGGAAATACTATAATCACTCCTAGTTCCCTTATTACTTATCCTAGCTCCACATCCAACACATTGTTTATGATCGTAAAGACACATAATCTAACGGTGCCCACCTCTATAAGCAATACAACTTAATAAAACTGCAATTCCGTTATCTGCGTTATCTGCTGTGCTCCGTGCGCTTTGAAATCTAATCAAAAGTTGTTTACCTCAATTCTTTGTCGTTTCTCCATCGCCCGGCTCTTTCGTTCTTTCAGTGGTTTCTTGTGCTGAAATGTGGAGGGGACGGCTCCGGGTTTCAGCCTCCGACATACTATTAATGCTTCTGCACCAACAGACTTGATGATAGCAGGATCAACCTCGTATGCATCACACGCGAAGTGATCAGAACACAACCTGATCCATTTTGTCGGTTGCCAGCCAACACGATTCACTAACTAAATCCATTTTTTGCGGATGATTTGGTCTTTGGGAAATACATGAAAAACTCTCCCAGATCCCGCACCGTCCGTACAACAAAAAGCACAACAATAACCCATGTTAATTCAGTTTTCTTGTCGAAAAACTTGACCGAGACTGCCGAGTCGGGATGTTTGGTCCAGACTGTTTGGCATGTATGACGTCACGCGCGCGGAGGCTGCTGGGAAGGTCATGTCAGAAATTCAGACGGCTTTGGGTCAAGTTTTGTATCAATAAAAAGCTTTTTTTCGGGTGTATTATCTCGATTTAAAAAATTTTTTAAATACAGGCAGTCTTAAAAACAACATTTCTATAAAAATGTAGCATATTTGGAAGCTTTGCATTTGATCTTTAAGCCAATGAGGCAAGCTGTTCTCCTATGGAAATTAGCTTGTTCAATTATTTGCAATTAATCAGTTTTACATGGGAAATTAGGTTATACACACACCATTAATAAACATAATAAATAGAGTATTACATCTTCTGTTCTGTGAAATATAGCTTTGACTGTAACAGACCAGGAATATAATTCTTAATTATGTTAACACTGGAGGCTGTATTTTATGTAAGGATTATGTGATTTTTAAACAGAAAATGATAAGTCCAATGGAGACAGAAAGCGGGAAGAGGAGCTTCTGCAGCAGATCAACAAGCTAGTGGAGACCAGAGACTTCCTGGTGGACGATGTGGAGTTTGAAAGGCTGAGGTGAGGATATTAAATCAATCGATTGGAAAAGAGACTTTGACTTAGTGAGGTTTTTCTGAGGCTCTGCAGACATTACACTGCACTCTGTTTACAAAACAATGGGTTTCTGGGAGTTTTTATTAACCTCTTCTACACCGCACCCCCTATACCCAACCCAGTCTCACGGCATTTCGTGTTATAGTCACGACATTTAATCTATTGATTCGTGTTCACCAACACGATTTTCCCCTTTTTTTTCGTGTCACACAGAACGATTTTAAACGCAATGTATTTCTATTGGTAATATGTTTCGTGCCTGCAGCACGTATTTTTGTCCGTTCGGGTTTTGGAAGACCGGAAGCTGTGGGGTTCATAAAAACATGTTCTTACTCAATATCAAGCCACGATTATTGTTTTTATTTTAAATAGTATAATGTCAGACTTTGTCGTCTGTGAGGAAAAGAAATGGGGCTCAGAGCCTCAAAATACTGAAATCTATATTTTTTTTAATATTGTTTTCCTTCTAATTTGTTATTCTTTTCTAAATAACACAATGTTATTTACTCACAAATAACACACAATTATCCTTGGTTTTATTTATTTGCTTAATTCCATAATCTCTGGCTTTTTTGGCGTCCGTCAGAAACTGAATTTCAAAATAAAAATAACCGGAAACAGACGTAGGCCTATAAGGGACATTTCAAGCATCATTGCAATACACAGCCACTGAACTGATTACCCAAGATCCTCAGCTATGGTTTAAGCTCGCTGATTGGATGTTTTAGCCACAATGCATGTAGGGATATGGTGTTAATGCGATAAAAGAAAATACTTTATTCCGAGCGCTCTTGCTTTTCTTGAAAGTCATCACATAACGGCATTGTAATACACGGTTCGGCTGCATTGTATATTACAGATCTGCCGTAATTCTTTATTTATAGAGCCCTGATGAGAAGACCTTTGGAAAAACTGGAAGAAATGCCGCCGAAACTGACTACCTGACGTGAATCATAAATATATCAACAATTAAACAACATCTTCAATTTCTCTTCACACAATACGTCTCCTTGCAGTATCAACACTAATTCGGCTGACTTTTACATTTGATCTAATTCACAGATAGGTTATATTTACACCATAACGGTGCACAGCTGATATAAAAGGACTTAGTAGTAGTAGTAGTAGTATTAGTTTTTAAAGATATTACTGATTTGAATTGAATATAAGAATGTAAATACTGAGTGTGAAATAATATAGCAATATGCTGTAAAATGATGTGAAAACATGAATAAAACTACACATCTTCAGATGTTGTACATACATAAGTGTCTTACACTAATAATACAAAGTTATTATGGCTGTGTGTACCTTGTGTGCACCACCTAGTGGTTAAAGCACGTTATTGAATTTTTTTTTTTTTTTTTTGTAAAGCACTTTGAATTGCCTTGTGTTGAAAAGTGCTATATAAATTTGCCTTGCCTATGTGTTATATTTGATGAAAAAAATATTTAGAGTACATACTTTCATAGGGGGAAAGTAGAAGGTCTGTGATAGAAATATAGAATATAAAAAATCAAGAAGATACTATAAGTGATCTCTACAATAAAACAGTTTAGTGCAGCATGTACAAAGATATTAATAGGAGGAGGTGCAAAACAGAAAAACGAATTAACCTTTATTCAAACATTAAATAATACTTTAGATTAAGGTCTTCTTTTAAATAAGAAAAAAGCTTTGGGGGTATCAAAAGATAAATATTAAGCCTGACAAAGTACTTAACGTCTAATATATTGCTTTCCTGCAATGTTAACTATGTTGAAACACTTATTTTAACTGATATTATACATATGAATTATACTCGTATGTATGTAGATAGAATAAGAAATCTGCAGAATATGACAGTTTAATGGTGGAGGTATACACACATATTGATAGATGTCTTGTAATGCACTGTTGAGGAACCTCAGATGCGACCCAAGTTTTTCATTTATTGCATAACTACACCGTAGTTGTGTATATATATGATATGTCAATAAACCTTAGAAAATCTTGAAATCTTGAAAGGGATGTGCAAAATAGCCATAATATACAGTCTTTAATTAACTATTAGTAGAGAATAACGAGTAATGAATATACTTTATTACTCGTTTCCATTCATGTCAATTGCAGATAAATGTTTAGTCTTCTCAAGCACCAACTATCAAATATCTCTCCTGATTGTTGGCACTTGACAATCACCTTCCCTGAATTTTACTCTGGTGTAACTAAAGTCTGATTTAAGGGTTGTTTATATTTCACATCATTAATCAGAATCTGCAAAGTAACTCAAATAAATGCAGTGGAGTAAAAAGACCAGGTTAACCTCTGAATTGTAGTGGAGTAGTAAACTGTGGGTTTTCTTCGGAAGTTTTTCCTTGTACGATGTGAGGGTCTAAGGACAGAGGGTGTCGTATTGTCATACTGATATTTTGTACAAACTGTAAAGTCCACTGAGACAAATGTAACATTTGTGATATTGGGCTATATAAATAAACATTGATTGATTGATTGAGTAGAATTACAAAGTAACAATGAGCTGTCATGTGGGTATATACACTGAACAAAAATATAAATGCAACACTTTTGTTTTTGCTCCCATTTTTCATGAGATGAACTCAAAGATCTAAAACATTTTCTATATACACAAAATAACCATTTCTCTCAAATATTGTTCACAAATCTGAAAAAATCTGTGATAGTGAGCACTTCTCCTTTGCCGAGATAATCCATCCCACCTCACAGGTGTGGCATATCAAGATGCTGATTAGACAGCATGATTATTGCACAGGTGTGCCTTAGGCTGGCCACAATAAAAGGCCACTCTGAAACGTGCAGTTTTATCACACAGCACAATGCCACAGATGTCACAAGTTTTGAGGGAGCGTGCAATTGGCATGCTGACAGCAGGAATGTCCACCAGAGCTGTTGCCCGTGAATTGAATGTTCATTTCTCTACCATAAGCCGTCTCCAAAGGCGTTTCAGAGAATTTGGCAGTACATCCAACCGGCCTCACAACCGCAGACCACGTGTAACCACACCAGCCCAGGACCTCCACATCCAGCATGTTCACCTCCAAGATCGTCTGAGACCAGCCACTCGGACAGCTGCTGCAACAATCGGTTTGCATAACATAAAATAAGTGTTGCATTTATATTTTTGTTCAGTGTATTAATGCTGCGCATTATGGACACAAGCGATTTTCACCCATTTATTAATTTTATGTTTTACATTTGATAACACCAATGTGTTTAATACTGGCAACTTCTAATTGTGGGAAAAACGAAAACGTTCAGTAGAGACGTCCCATAGAACATTTTGCCAAACACAATAGCCAGCATGTGTAGTTCTGGGGGGGGGGCGTTCGATTCCAGTTGTGGATAGTCTGGCGTGGTTTCGTTCCATTTCAAACAGCTGTTTGACGCTCGGCGTAACCTTGGCGCACTGCCACTCCAACATCCAATCCCAGAGCTTAAAGATTAATCACGGGGACAGTAGTCCTAAACGATAGCTGGGGATTATGGGTAGTATAGTGTCTTCGGCCATCCTAAACTCAGAAATGTTTTTCGGATTTCATATCGCGTTAACACCATATCCCTACATGCATTGCGGCTAAAACATCCAATAAGCGAGCTTAAACCATAGCTGAGGATTTTGGGTAATCAGTTCAGTGGCTGTGTATCACAATGATGCTCGAAATGTTGCTTATAGGCCTACTTCTGTTTCCGGTTATTTTTATTTTGAAATTCAGTTCCTGACGGACGCCAAAAAAAGCCAGAGATTATGGAATTAAACAAATAAATAAAAATAAGGATAATTGTGTGTTATTGGTGAGTAAATAACAGTGTGTTATTTAGAAAAGAATAACAAATTAGAAGGAAAAAATATTTTAAAAAGTACAGATTTCAGTATTTTGAGGCTCTGAGCCCCATTTCTTTTCCTCACAGACGACAAAAAAAGTCTGACATTATACGATTTAAAATAAAAACAATAATCGTGGCTTGATATTGAGTAAGAACATGTTTCTATGAACCCCACAGCTTCCGGTCTTCCAAGACCCGAACGGACAAAAAGACGTGCTGCAGGCACGAAACATACTGCCAATAGAAATACATTGCTTTTAAAACCGTTCTGTGTGACACGAAAAAAAGGGGAAAATGGTGTTGGTGAACACGAATCAATAGATTAAATGTCGTGACTATAACACGAAATGCCGTGAGACTGGGTTGCTATACCGGGGGAAAACGTGTCATCTGCAGGAAACAGCGTCTGAGGGCATCTTAATATTCAATAAACTATGAATGTTTCATATCCATGTAACGGGAAGAAACTCAGCTAACGGATCTTTTTTCTTTTAAAAAAAACCCACAAAGCTAACGCTCTGCCTATGAATTAGCCACGAGCGAAAAATGCTAACGGGGTGTTGCACAGAAACTCACTCATAACACCCTTATTACTTATCGCAGCTGCACGTCCAACCCATCGATCTAATCGTGAGATCACACAGAATCGATGGGTACATACATCATCACTCCATGATAAGAACTCGCGAAGCTATTAACCAGGGTTGCCAACTTCGGGTACCTGGCTGGAGTGAGATTTTGATATCATGGGTTTAATTACACATATGCGCACTAAATGACTGCTATCGTGTCAGTAGCGGGACCTTAGCATATAGGATATATATACAATATATACAAATACACAATATTGGACACAGACTATAAAGGGCACAAAGTTTCATTCACTTATTGTGTGCCTGTCGCGATAAGCAATTAATTGACTTATCGTACGATAAATAAAAATGAACTCGATACATTTCCATTTACATGAGGATGTGACTAGCAGTTTGAAAGGATGCACTTGAATTATTATTATATATTAGCATTATGTCAGTGGTCTAAAATGGTCATACAACGGTCCCGACAATATTATCGTTTATCGCAATAATTTCCGGGAAAATGTATCCAACAAAATTAATTATCGTGAGAGGTCTATAGGCCTACATGAAACACACACACAAACAAATCTACAGACTTACTTCAAACCGCCAAATATATTAATTAACACACTCTCACTCTCATATACTCTTTGACTCTATTTTGGCCTAGTAGAACAATAAGCAGCAGACTTTTACTTTATCATTTCTACTGGATCTTAGATCTGCGCATGCGCAATACGGGTCGGGGATCGACCATGGGATTGACCAACCGGCTCCCACTGCTCTGCTGTCTGTTAACGTTGTTAAGAGTGGTGGGGGCGGATCGACAGCTTGAGCAGCTGTCAACTCAACATTGTAAATAACCAACCAAAAACGATCGCCGGTTCATCTTGTTTTTGGCGTGAGAATAGTTTGGGCAGCGTGAGAGCGATTGAGAGTGAAAGCATGTGTCACACGCCAGATGCGTGAGAGTTGGCAACCCTGTATTAACAAGAACAGACATCAAAACATGTGGCGCTAGGTAGCTAAAAACGGCAAACATGGCTCACCTTGGTCGTTGTCTGGTCAAAAGTGGTCTTCAATGGCATTAAAACGATAAAAACGCAGCTGAAGTTAATCCATAGGTTAATGCAATGTGTCTGTGTCACTTTAAAATGATTTCTGATCAACCTTAAGCAATAAACCTGCTTTTCCGTTTCCAGATGTCAGAGCGAGAGATAAGTTCACTGATGAAAAACTGAATGCGCAAAGCCCCCACCTTTTTTTTTACCATGTGTGTGAGTGGGGGGATTCCCCTTCGATTCTATTGGCTCTAACGGTCAAAAAGAGATGTCAATCACCAAAATCGACCAATGGGTTCCAGAGAAACGGCAAAACCCCCATTTCCACCCAAATCACCTCAGAGGTGGAGTTTTCTTTGCTGAACCTGTCTAAAAAGGTCACATGTCACTTGTTTTGCATCAATCTTGATACAGGGTTCTTATTATATGTTGTACTTTGGATTCCTAAAGCTTTTAGTCTACCTTACCATCATCCAAGGGTAGTATTCATTATAAGTAAAAAATTATTTTTGGACGGACACTATAATTTACAGTTTTTTATGTTCAATCTGAATTTTCTTTAAAATAAAAAACATCTATATTGATTCTGACTTTTCTACATCCAACTCACAGGTTTATCATTACTTGGAGGGAAGATATGGTCATTTGTTCTGGGAATGTCATTTTCGAGGCTGAGACCTGAAAAACAGGCTCAGGGCTTGTTTGCCTTTTTTAAGGATTACAACTCGCTTTTAGCATTTTGATAAGTCTGATTTTCCTCAACAACTTAATTTCAATTTCTCTGCAACTTGAGTTTCCATATGAGAATATCCTGGACAAATACTAACTATCAATTTATTTCAAAAACTTCCATATCATGCACTTTAATGAATCCAAATAAATGCAGCATTGTATGACTCCATAAGACAAGTAGGACACTTATTGAAAACTAGGATTGATTTCAGTAGCTTCTATGTCATGTGAGCTTACGACTCTAACTCAATGCAGAATTGTCATATGTTACTAACCAAGTAAGACACGTTTATTTTTTAAAGGATTTTAGTGTGTTTTATCTATTTTCTATTAATACTGTAGCATTTTCAATACTTTAAAGTTTGTATGTTATTCAATAGCTTCCAGGTTATGTGACCCTTCGACTCCAGATCAAGGCAGCATTGTGATTACAACATAGGACACACTTGTTTTTTATGGGATATAGTGTATTTTTCTATTTTATATAGTTATTAAAATTAAAATTAAGCAGTTTCATTATTGAAAAGTTGGGATTTTATTCAATAGCTTCCAAATTGTCTGACGTAATGATGCCAATTCAATGCAGTATTGTATTTCTATACTGGACAACTATGTCTATACTTAGTAAAAAGTTCCCATATTCAATAACTATTAAAAAAACCAATTCATATTATTATTATTTGGCCCATTCATTGAATTTACAATGTTATTATTTGATCGTTGTATCACATTCACACTAAATGCTAACAACAGGTCCACCGTCGCTCAGATTTGTTGTTTGTGGTGCTATTGTTAGCTGCCTTCACTGATAAGCAGTTTTGAGTGACATTTTGATTGGTCTCAGACTGCGGAATCCTGCATTATTGACGTGTTTGTGAAAAACAAACTGGGTAGAGGATGGTGTGCTGTGGGTTCACTCCTCTCACAGTAGATTAAAATCCTTTCCTAAGGATTTGTCGGTCGTGCCCATCTCCTCGGTTTCTCACAAAATGCAACCGAGTGACATTTACCATGATTAAGAAAATATTAGAACCACATACTTGGCAAATAAAAAACAAGGGCATATTCTCCTCCACAGGGAAAGGGAAGAGGACAGAGAAATGGCAGCCTTCCTACACTCCAAATTTCCCAAGACATTGGCTTCAAAAGGTGAGTCTAGCCATGATCTGGACCCTGAGTCTGTAATAAAGTTTTCATTCATTCATGAGGCTGTCAGTGTAAACTCACTACTAAAAAAGTTAATTTTTTCAGAATAAGGGCACATTATCATTTTGTTTTTCAGAATAAGGGCACATTATCAGTTTGTTTTTCAAAATAAGGGCACATTATCAGTTTGTTTTTCAGAATAAGGGCACATTACCAGTTTGTTTTTCAGAATAAAGGCACATTACCAGTTTGTTTTTCAGAATAAGAGCACATTATCAGTTTGTTTTTCAGAATAAGGGCACATTACCAGTTTGTTTTTCAAAATAAGAGCACATTACCAGTTTGTTTTTCAGTATAAAGGTACATTATCAGTTGTTTTTTCAGAATAAAGGCACATTATCAGTTTGTTTTTCAGAATAAAAGTACATTACCAGTTTGTTTTTCAGAATGAGAGCCCATTACCAGTTTGTTTTTCAGAATAAGATCACATTACCAGTTTGCTTTTCAGAATAAAGGCTCTTTATCAGTTTGTTAATCAGAATAAATGTACATTATGAGTTTGTTTTTCAGAGTAAGGGCCCATTATAAGTTGTTTTTCCACAATAAAAGCACATTATCTGTTGGTTTTTCAGAATAAGGGCACATTACTAGTTTGTTTTTCAGAATAAGAGCACATTACCAGTTTGTTTTTCAGAATAAGAGCACATTACCAGTTTGTTTTTCAGTATAAAGTTACATTATCAGTTGTTTTTCAGAATAAAGGCACATTATCAGTTTGTTTTTCAAAATAAAAGTACATTACCAGTTTGTTTTTCAGAATAAGAGCACATTACCAGTTTGTTTTTCAGAATAAAGGCTCTTTATCAGTTTTTTTTTCAGAATAAGATCACATTATCAGTTTGTTTTTCAGAATAAAAGTACATTACCAGTTTGTTTTTCAGAATAAGAGCACATTACCAGTTTGTTTTTCAGAATAAGAGCACATTACCAGTTTGTTTTTCAGAATAAGAGCACATTACCAGTTTGTTTTTCAGTATAAAGTTACATTATCAGTTGTTTTTCAGAATAAAAGTACATTACCAGTTTGTTTTTCAGAATAAGAGCACATTACCAGTTTGTTTTTCAGAATAAAGGCTCTTTATCAGGGTTTTTTTCAGAATAAGATCACATTATCAGTTTGTTTTTCGGAATAAAAGTACATTACCAGTTTGTTTTTCAGAATAAGAGCACATTACCAGTTTGTTTTTCAGTATAAAGGTATTATCAGTTGTTTTTCAGAATAAAGGCACATTATCAGTTTGTTTTTCAGAATAAAAGTACATTACCAGTTTGTTTTTCAGAATAAGAGCACATTACCAGTTTGTTTTTCAGTATAAGGGCACATTTCAGTCTGGAGAAGTATTAGTACATAATATAACTTTAAGTATTTGATTAAACACAGTACGATGTGTCTAATCAAATACTTGACTTCCCCTTCTCCTTGACTCTCAGGTGTTTTGCCAGATCAGAAGGTGGCGTCCAAATCGCAGCAGACATCGCTGCCATTTTTCAATAAAACTCGAGTTACACTGCTGAAGGACTGCTGCGGCTTCACCTGCTCCATCATGTAACACTGTGTGTGTGTGTGTGTGTGTGTGTGTGTGTGTGTGTGTGTGTGTGTGTGTGTGTGTGTGTGTGTGTGGTGTGTGTGTGTGTGTGTGTGTGTGTGTGTGTGTGTGTGTGTGTGTGTGTGTGTGTGTGTGTGTGTGTGTGTGTGTGTGTGTGTGTGTGTGTGTGTGTGTGTGTGTGTGTGTGTGTGTGTGTGGACGCACATTTGAGCCTCCCTAGTGTTTACATGTATATGCTGAATGTCTGCCGTAAAGATTATCTGCATTTATCTTCATATGCTTGTATAAATGTAACATGAAAGTTGTATATTTATAGTATTTTATGTGATTCTGTGAAATACTGCGTTTATATATTGCAGAGTGGAACATGTCTGGCTTTCTGTCTAATTAAAGTAATCAGATATTATTATGGCTGCTCATTGTGATATATTAAGATGTGCATAAGGGTAGAAACTACACCTGCTGTAGTACTGTAGCAGAGTATATGGGTATTATTAAGACTGATGCTTTCATCATTTCATCATCCAGGTCATTGTTGGTCCAGAAAATAGTTGAATTAGGAGGAACATCGGAGGAGAAATGCAGTATATTGAGGTAATGTAAGAAGATCCTTTTATTAGGAAAGGAAAGCAGCTGAGAGCCTTTTACTTTCATCAGATGTTGACAAAAAGGGAACAGACCATCATTCAAACCAAAGTCTTGATTGCCTGATTCATGTGTAGCCGTTAAGTATAATGCCTTACAGTCTGCTTTCTTCAAATATGTTTTCATCAAAATAACTTTATATTTGTATTATTTTGATGTAAATCTTTGCAATGCTGCTTCAATAAAGACTTTTATTGCTAATCCATTTTTAGGGTACACAGATGTTTTGTCTGAAACCGTGTTGAACATGTTTCTATAGTGATTTTACGTTTATGTTAATTGTCTATTTCCCATATCATGTGTTAATATTCTTACTTGTGGATGTTGTAAATGCAGCTGCTGTGCATATATCATCATCTATTCTATAGAAACAGGTGGAAACCAGGACGTAAATATCTGCCAGCATCCTGTGTCACTGCCATGACAACGGGAGTGTGTGTGTGTACGTGTGTGTGTTGTGGGATGTTATGATTGTTCATTGTGGTGAGGAGAAAACCAGATGGTTTCAGTTCCACATAACGTACCTCAGCTGCCTCCATCACCTCACACCTCACACACACACACACACACACACACACACACACACACACACACACAACAAAGCACACTGCAGCCACAGATGACTCACAGGGGAGATGCAGCAAAAACATATATTTTTGTGTCTGAATAAAACTCAGTCTTTTTCTCATACTGCCTGTGCTGCAGCACCTCTTTTCACCCTCTGTCTGAAACCAGAGCCCAGTCTGCTCTGATTGGTTAGCTGGCCGGCTCTGTTGTGATTGGTCAACCGCTTAGAGATGTCCCGCCCCTTATCCTATCACGTAAAATATGTTGGAGCTCTAGCCAATAGGAGCGTGAATGTTCCATAGTGATGTTATGTTTAAGAAAGGAGTCCAATGGAGGCGTTTTAGGAAATTCGGGAATGAAGCCGAATTTTGCAGCCCATTTTCATGCATAAAAACCTCTCACTACAGGGGCCCCAAAAAGCAGAATAGGGTCTCTTTAAATCTGAGTACTTCCTCCAGCTCTCTTCTTCTTCTCCTACAGTAATGTTTGGCGTTTCCTCCTCATGGCCGATGATAAAGGCCACAGCTGGCTGCAGATAAACAGACTGAAGCGCTCTGTATTTAATTTGCCGTTTGAGGAGACTAATCAGGGAGCGACACACTGTGAATGGCTGCAGACACGTTTCTGCCAACCCTCTCTAATTGGATGCTTGTGAAGATGCTGCTTGTTCTTTTTATCCAGCGTCGGCTCAGACGGTTAACAGTCCCTGGAAAGGCGATATCGAGCTTCGCCAATTAAAGACTTTGTGCTTTTTACCGCTTCGGCTCTCCTGAAAGCGTTTAATAACCCTGGAGCTGTACAGTATGCTGCGGTACATGCTGAGAAGCCCTCAGTATGTGTTCTCCAGGGACAGTAAATAAAAGGTCTTTGTGGGAGTTCATGTTCACTGAGAGCTAAGAGAGGGAAACAAAAGCAGAGTTACAAAAGGTTGACTTAAAGGGGGGGGGAGGGAAAGTAAAAAATACCATTAGAAGGTGAAATGTGCTGGGAAGGAATGCAGAAAGATGCAACACTTAGTTTAACTTCTGATGCATTTCACACTGTGGCTGCGAGGGACTGTCTTTCAATCAGAAGGTTGTTGGTTCGATCCCAGCCCGTGCACTCAACATGTCGATGTGTCCTTGGGCAAGATACTGAACCCTGAGGTGCTCCCGATGGCCAATGGTGTGTGTGTGTGTGTGTGTGTGTGTGGTGTGTGTGTGTGTGTGTGTGTGTGTGTGTGTGTGTGTGTGTGTGTGTGGTGTGTGTGTGGTGTGTGTGTGTGTGTGTGTGTGTGTGTGTGTTAGCTTCCCAGAGCAAGTTGTACTGCTCTGCATGAATGAGGTGTGACCTGATAAAGATATATATAAGTACAGACCATTTACCATAAAGATTTTATCCTTATTTTAAACATTAGCCTATTTTTCTGCCTGTAATGTCAAATACTGTATATGCTAAATGTCTTGCAATGTTTGCCATACATTACATTACATTTAGCTGACGCTTTTATCCAAAGCGACTTACAATAAGTACATTCGACCAGGAAGACACAACCTTGAAGAAAACAGAATCATAAAGTACATCAGGTTTCATAGAGCCAAACATTTCAAGTGCTACTCAACTGGCTTTAGATAAGCCAGTCCTTTATTAGTATAAGTGCTTTGTTAATACATACCTTAACAGTTTGATGCTATTTAAGTCAGACGCTATTTTTGAAACCAAAAACCCTTTATAGTCTGTCATGTGACCGAACATGATAATGGACATTACATTACATGACACTTGTTAGACGCTTTTACCCAAAGCGACTTTCATACACTCAATACTGTTAATCCCCACAGGAGCAATTTGGGGTGAAGTGTCAAGAGGCTATTTTACATCTGTAGACCCAGGGCAGGTGTTTCCAAATCACCCTTAAAATGAATGTTTTAATATAACAAAATTAAAAGTTAGATAAAATCAAGTGAAAAATCAAAAACAAGTGGCTTACAATTCTTGAAATGCCAATTCAAACTATTAATGTTTATACATTTTTTTTAAACATACATAATACATAGCAACAGGGTACTGGCAGGTTACAGAGGACACTATTGTTTTTGTGCTAACCCTTTTTGTATTAATTAATTCACCATCCCAGAGACTTGAAGGTCCTGAACTTCCCTTATTATCTCTTTTGCACTATTTGACCCATTCCCTTTTCTTTTTTTATCTTAGATATATTGTATGTTGCGTTGTTGGAGTAGCTTGAAACTTAAAAGCTTTCATTGCCAACAACTACGCTGTCGCTATTGTGCATATGATCAAATAAAGTCTTTGAATCCTTTGTAAATGTGAAATCAAACAGTGCACCCAAGTGGCCGAGAGCCTCACAACACAAAGTCTGTCCAAGCTTCCATTGTTCTGAGCACTTTAAGGATGTTTTAAAAAGTTGTTAAAGTTGAGATTTTGGAAACAGCTATTAAGAATAAGTCAAACCATGTGATTAGTTGAAAGCTCTGCAACTAGAAGTTAACAGCAACCCAAAAGCAATAGGCCTACCGTATTCAATTTTACATGAACATAATTGGACATTAAAAAAGTTAACTTCATTATATATATAAAATAATAATTTATATAACATCATTTGTGTTCAATTTCTTGTCTTAAATATAATGTATGTTGCAAGAGCCTGGGACTTTATTGCCAAACTATGATGTAGCCAGAGGTGGAAGTACTCAGATGTTGTACTTTAGTCAAAGTAGAAGTACTCAGATATAAGCAAAATGGGGCTCATGTTTTAAGGAATGAGCTGCCAACAAAATAAGTGAAACCGGAGAGCTGTGAGCTGTTTTGTTTCTCTTTGTTTCTCTTAACTTATGAGGCGGTATACCTCCAGTGAGTGGCCAGCCCTTCGTATATATATTTGTCTGTATGTGGTCCTCGGTGAAAAAAGCGTGTACACCTCTGCTGTAGCTTATGTGCATAAAACAATAATCCTTTGAATTGAATTGATTCCCCTCCAGCTCCAGCCTGCTGCTGTCTCTTTAAAGATGACGCAGAGCTGGGTGTTGCGCAGCGGCAGAGAGAGAGGCAGGTCGGTGCACTCACACCGGGGACAAGCTGCTTCTCTTCGGCCTCAACATGGAGTTTCTACTGGGGAATCCCTTCAGCACGCCGGTGGGTCAGCGGATAGGTGAGTTATTTTAAATACCGCCATAATTCATTCACATGTTAGGCTTAAAAAACACCCAAATCCTGCAGGCTTTGTCACCTTCACCGGATGCATCCCGCTGAGGACACGTAGGCTTCTTCTCCTCTTATAATGAGTCATTAACATGTTTTAAATACACCTGATAAAACGTGTTTTTATGAATTTAAGGTGCATTTATTAACCAAGTAGTGTAGCAACGGGTTTCTGTTTGATTGTCGCGACCGCTAACCAATGATGTGTAAGGGGGCGGGGCTTAGGTGAGGTGAGGCGTGATTTGATTGGTTGTTATTCTGTCTGTTTAAAGCGGGCCACATCCTCCTGACCTAAATTAGATGCACGTCCAACTGTAGCTTAATGACTGCATGTGTGTGTGATAAGAGATTATGGAAATTGAGAGTTAGTCATTTGAATGAATAGATGAGCAGATTTAATCATGGTAGAGATCCTGTTATTACTCATAATCTGTATATCTTTACATACATATACACTATAAATATAGCCTAGCACAATATCTACACATCAGGAAACGCACTGTACTGTAGCAATTACAAGTGTAATGCTGAGGAGAAATGATTACTGTGTTGTGAGAAATATCTACCAAGCGTTTCGTATTACAAATATATTAAACCTACAAAATAGGTCAAACTGTTTGGCTGAAATGTGAGTTTTTCTACTCAAACTATAGCTAGTACACTGTATTTTGCACATATTTCATTATATATATATTTAAGGACAAAAACAGTAGTCATACACTTATCGAACACAATATATGTGTCATTTTTCTAATTACTTACTTTTATTATTTATAAAAAAAGTGGGCTTTTTTACGTACGACCAATTAGAACCAATATTGTGGCACATTGAGCATAAAGGTAAATAATAAAGTGGTTTGATTTATTTATGATTAAACTGTAATTACTACACTATTCATTTTAGTACAGTAATATATTCATATTTTAAACATTGTATTTTTCACAGAGAGTGCGACCAACTCCAACCTGCCGTCAGACGACTGGACCCTCAACATGGAGATCTGCGATGCCATCAACAGCGCAGAGGAAGGGTGGGTGTGGGTGTGTGTGTGTGTGTGTGTGTGTGTGTGTGTGTGTGTGTGTGTGTGTGTGTGTGTGTGTGTGTGTGTGTGTGTGTGTGTGTGTGTGTGTGTGTGTGTGTGTGTGTGTGTGTGTGTGTGTGTGTGTGTGTGTGTGTGTGTGTGTGTGTGTGTGTGTGTGTGTTGTGGTGTGTGTGTGTGTGTGTGTGTGTGTGTGTGTGTGTGTGTGGTGTGGTGTGTGTGTGTGTGTGTGTGTGTGTGTGTGTGTGTGTGTGGTGTGTGGTGTGTGTGTGTGTGTGTGTGTGTGTGTGTGTGTGGTGTGTGTGTGTGTGTGTGTGTGTGTGTGTGTGTGTGTGTGTGTGTGTGTGTGTGTGTGTGTGTGTGTGTGTGTGTGTGTGTGTGTGTGTGTGTGTG